AAAAAAAAAAAAAGAAGGGAGCATCAGGGTTCGCACCTGAGACCTACAGATCTGCAGTCTGCTGCTCTGCTACTGAGCTATACTCCCTAATTACTATATATTATTCATATTTTATTAATATACATTATGTAACAATTGTTAATCTTATATACATAATCATAGTTTTCTAATTCTTAACACTTAATTTAGTTTTTTTATAAATACCTAAATATTTATATTTGCTGTTTTTCTGTATTCATTAAATTATTAAATTTAGTTTAATCTAAAGTTTCATTATATTAAAATGAGGAAGTTTTTTATACTTTCAGTCAACTTTTATAAGATTTTAATGAGAATATAATAAATATTTTAGGGTTTGAAAAAAAAAAATAATATAATAATTAATATTACTTATAAAATTAACAGAATCTCAAGGATAATAATGATTAATTAAACTATTTCAAAATAAAATTTTTAATTTGCGAATGTTTGTGAAAGAATTATTACAAATATAAGAATATGTAGAACAAAAAAAGTCTAGTGGTAAACAAGTATCCTTAAAGCCTCTTATTGATATTTGTGTCCATAAATATTAAAAAGAAGAAGTTTAAGAAGCATTAAACTAAGCATTGACAAATGAACTTAAGTCAGAATGGATATCTTAACAAAATATAGATATCTTGATCTTATGTTATAAAAGATTAAGATGTGATGTATCTATGGAAATAATTGAAAAAACATTTGAAATTTCAATTGATAATTTACAAAGTAATTACATCATTAATTTATAGCCACAAAAAGAATATTATCCATTTGCACTGAGGAACAATTAAGAAATCTATGTTCTAAATATATTTCAACATAAGGATATGTTAATAAAATAGTTAAACCTATTTATGAAAGTCTTATGAATGTAAATGATCAAACAATGATCATAGTTGATAAAGTCAAGAAATTATATAAGAACTTATTTTCGTTATTAAAGGTGCAAAAGTAGTGGGTTTTAGAGAGAGCTATGGAATTTGTGTTATTTTCAGAGGATATTTATACAGAAAAAAGTTAAAAATTTGTTGCTTAATAATTTTAAGAGATTAGATCAATTATTTATGCATTTATTATAAATGATGATGAAATTAGATTAAATTTTATTAATTATTTACCTTAGATTTTTTAATAACACAACCCAAAGAATGAAGATTTCAAATTGCATTGTAGTGAATTAATAAAAATAGCTTTATTTAGTAAAAGTGTTTAATAATTAATGACATATGAATAATTTTGGTAATCTTTACATGATTCATATTAAGTATATTCTGATTTAACAAATAATAAAATATGTGTTGCCATTTTAAATGAAGTTTTATTACATATTGATGATGAGAAAATATAATAACATTTTAAATTATTTACAGATTTATTTATTACATTAGACAGTTTTGGTACTCATTTAACAAAAGATGTTTGGGTTAAAATGGATCCATTTACACAAAAATAATAATTTAAAATAGATAATGAATTAAAAAGATAATTATTCTAAAGCATTAAACCTTTATTTATACTTATTAATAAAGCAGCATAACATTCAAATGAAAAAACAATCAAAAATTGTATTAAATCTTTATTCAAAAAATAAATTGATGTTAATTATTTAAAACCATTAATAATTGAAATAATCATACCAGTTTTGAATAAGCCAGTATTTTATCTTGATACTCCTTTGGAAGGAGATTCCAAATTTTATGAGCTTCTTAAATAGTTCTTGGTAAAGATTCCTTATATTGATGATATAATTATATAAATGGTTTAACATATATAATATCCCTTGGCAGTTGGAGCTTTCAGTGTATCATTAAAAGATATTAAAGTAGAGATTACATAATTTTAATTACTAATCTAATTTATTGAATAAAATTTAATGAGATTAAATCTAAGAAAAAGAATACAATTATTATAAGCTGTGCTTAATTTATATAAGTAAAATACTAGTCCTGAACAATTATTTTAACTTTTCAAAGTAATTCCTTTTGATTGTCTTTTTTTAAACAACATAGGAGAACTCTTAAAATCCTTAATAAATGAAGATTTTTTATTGTATGCATAATAATAATAATAAAAATTGGATATAAATTCAAATTACCATTAATTTGCTGTTATATATCACTTAACATAAGATCATAAATTATTCATGACTTTTTATGAACCTATAATTTCTTAATTATAATAAATATATACTAGTACTTATACCCAAAAAGAAACTAAACATAAAATCTTAGAATAATTAACATATTTATTAAAAACATCTAATCAAGTTTAATTTTTAGAACTAATAAGCTCTGGATTATTTGCTTATTTAACTTTAGATTTGGAGGGTGCTATGATTGTTACTGAAGAACTATGGATATCTTCATTATAACATTTTGAAATGGTTCCATAATTGACTTAATAGATGAGTAAATTTGTTGGGTTTTTGTTCTAATAGTAATTTGATAATTTTAATATCATTCATTTAGAATTGTTAATCAAGACTTTAAAAGCTACAAATATTTCATTGTAATAAGCAAAGAGAAATAAAACTGGTTTATTTGTTGAAGAACTATTTCTAAAATTTGGTTTATAATTATTAAAAAAATTATAAACTATTGAATAAGACAGATAATTAAAAAATTTAACATTACATTTTTTAAGTCATATTCTAACCTTATTCAGAGAAGTAAATCATAAACCTTAAGAGTATCATGCATAAGTGTAAAATTTAATTAATAATATAATTGATATTACAGATTAATTTAATGCTTATGATTCAATAACTTTGTATTAATTATTAAGGTCAGTATATGGACCTGAAATAGCATTCAATAAAGAATAAAGTGAGCAATTTAAGAAAGTTGCAATTAATTCTTTTCAACAAATGATGTATATATTTGGAACTCATACTAATTTAGATGAAATATTAGCATATATAGATTTTATTATTGATCCATGTTATTTTGAAGGAGAATTATATGAGGCAGTTGAAGAGGTTATTAGAGTAATAATGAAATAGCACTAAAAATAATGGGTTATACAAAGGAAGATTGCTAACAATTTAGTAATATGTTTACATAAATATCCTAATAGATTACCAACATTTTACTATATATTATTTAAGTTAATAAAAGGAAGTGAATTGAGAGGGTATGATTCTTCTGAAATTTTGTAATCATCAGAGTAATATGTACCATTAGCAAATAATGTTAAGCATTTGATTTCATGTAAAGGAGAATTTTATGGAGCATATCCAAGATTCTTAATCTTTAATTTCTTGTTTGAATTGGGAAAATAAGGAGGATATGAAAAAGAGTTATTATATTATATTAAATTCTTAATCGAAGTATCAATTAAGGATAAATATAAAAATGCATATATGCAATATACAAAATAATTTAGAATGAAATTGCATGTATGGTAAAATATTTGTTGTTTAAAATATTTATTAAAGCCAGAAAATTATTAAAAAGTATTTGGTGATGATTAGAAATATTTAATAGAATTAGAAAAATTAATATGGAAGGCATTTGATACTTTGAATAATCCTTAATATAGATAATATATTGAATTAATGATGAGTTTTTTGATAAATAATTATCCTGATATTTGGGCACCAAGATTGCTTTAAACTTTTAGTGATCCAAAATTAAAAGTAAATATCTAAATCCCAACTACATTTATATCTTGTATTTTCTTATTACATAATTAATAAACTAAATTTTCATAGAAATTCTTTGATAAACTATTTCCTTTAGTTAGTTCAAATGTAGCTTATATTAGATCTCTTTGTCAAACTACATGTTTATAATATATAAAGAAATAGAAATTGGAATATAAAGACTTTATTGAATATTTTGAAAGTAATAGAGAATGTTAGAAGATCATAAAGAATATTAGTGCTTTAATTGAAAGATATGAAAAATTGATGTTATCATTTGATTTGGATGGTATCTTAACAATATAATTTGATACCTTTGGTGAGATTATTCATCCATCTATAATTGAAATACTTAAGAATACATGTACTTAATCAATTGCTGAACTTAAAAGTGAAGACAATATGAGTGAGAATCCTCCACCTCCTTGGTTCTAATATGTTGAAAGATAATAATTGAGTACATAATATTCGTAATAGTTAAATTTCTAAAGGAAAATCAATTTGATAATGGATTAATTTGATTTATTTAAGGCATATTAACCAAGATAAATTGTAGGAGATATTATTGTTGTAGCAACCTTATTAGAAAAAATACCTAATTTTGGTCATCTTACTAGAACTTGTGAAATATTTGGATGCAGAGAATTAGTGTTACCAAACAAAAAAATCTTATAAGATGAATAATATTAAGCAGTAAGTGTTAGTGCTGAATAACACTTACCCATTTTAGAAATTAAAGAAGAGCATTTAATGAATTATTTGTAATTAAAAAGATTATAGGGTTATTAATTAGTAGCTTTAGAATAAACAAGTTAAAGTAAATCAATTGTGAATTTTAAATTTGACAAGAAAACTGTTTTAGTTTTGGGTAAAGAAAAGACTGGATTACCTATTGAATATATAGAATTAATGGATAATTGTGTTGAGATTCCATAATATGGTGTTATTCGATCTTTAAATGTACATATATCAGCTGTCATTTGTGTTTGGCAATATATCTAATAATGGTGTTGATATTAAATTAAAATTATTAAAATTGTTTATATATATCATGCATTCTTATAATATCTATTAAATGCTGGTGAATAAATTAATTTAAAGAATATTACAGCAAATATTGCTCCAGCAAAAGGTCCGGCTATAAATACCCACATAGAATCTAATCTTTCAATTTCATTAGTCTTTAATACTTAAAATAATTCCAAGGCCACTGCCATTCCAGGATTTAAACATCCTATTAAATTAAGCTTTTCTATACCTCCAGAATGGAATGTGTAACATCTTGATAAATGTAATGACAGAGTAATAAGAGTAATGCTAGCAATTGGTTTATCAGAGAAAGTCGTCTTAGGATTGCCTTTCAATTATTTACAGATTTTACATTAAATTAATATCATTAGAATGAAAGAAAATGCCCCAAGAGCTTCACCACATAAGTCAGCAATTATCCAATGAAAATTCAAATCAGTTACCATAGGACTATTGATTTATCCCAAAACCATATAACAAAAGAATCCACCTCCAAATGCACCAATCAGTTAAGCAATCCAATATAATAGACAAGTACCAGTTGATATTTATCTAGTCAGCCACATTGCTAATGTCACCTATTTATTATATCTAAATTACAGCTGGATTAATGTGTCCACCACTAATTGGTGCACATAAAGCCAAAGACCCGAAAAATGCTAACGCTATCTTACCATCACTTCCATTTGAACATACAATCCTAAATTCTCACATTTTCATACCCATAAGCAAATAAAGCCATGGAAATCATCTCTATTAATGCTCCATTGAATTTCTAAGCGTGCCTTTATGAAAATGTCAAATGTTTTTCTTCCATTTTATTCTTTTTATTTTCTAATAAATTTATTTATATAAATATGAAACATTAGTATCATCAATCAAATTAAATTTACTCAATTTCATCTTCTAATAATAGTCTAATTCAGATTCTAACTTATCATCTTTACATTATTCTCTTTAGTATTATCATTAAATTTATTCGAACCTCAATTTGATTATATCATCAAATTTCCTTATATACTTATTTGATATAATTAAAAATAATGGATAGTATATATCAACATACCTCTTTTTAATTATTAAATAAATGATTTTGGAATCAATACTACTATAATTAAGTTTAAGTTCTAGTTAATTTATAAAATTCAGAATATACTGTAAATTTATGAATTCAATTTCAAAAGAAAATCCTTTTCAAAATAATGTAAACCAACATCTGCAATCACAATCATCAATTTTATTCACAATAAAGCATTTCAAATGATTATAAAATATTTCCATTTATAATTTATTTTTGATAGTAACTATTATCTTTATTTATGTAATTTAAAGTCTAATGATTTGCATTAATATTATTAATATGAAATAAAAATTAATTATGGGGTTGACTTATTCTGTGATTTATATATGTTGGTGTAAGCATGTTAAAAAAATGTGGGTATATGAATATTAATGAATTTAGCTTGAAAATGATGTAGTCAAATTTTATTCAAATCATGTCATGCCTTATAAAAATAGATATTAATGAATTCTATTCTAATATTATAATCTATTTTCGATTATATTTATTCCAAAAATTATTTATTCTCATTTATTATTATTCTATTCAACCTAATGTTTAGTGTGTATTCTAATGAAAATTCTAATGTATTATTGATTCTTCATATAGGTTGTAATCTGATTGATTAATCAAAAAAATTTAAATCTTTTTATTAAAAAAATTATTATGGGAAAACTTCACGGTACATTGGCAAAGGCTGGTAAAGTCAGAAAACAAACACCAAAAATTGAAAAGTAGGTTAGAAGACACAAAATTCCAAAGGGAAGAGCTTATAAAAGAATTTGCTTTAACAGAAGGTTATTGATTTATGATATAATACATCAGATTTGGAACAGCTGTTGCTGGAACAGGTCCTTAATAAAGGAAAAAAGGACCAAATTGGCATGCAGGCAGAAAGGATTTAATTGAAGAGGAAAGAAAGAAATAAGTTGAATAAAGAAGATAAAGAAAGAAGGATGTACCAAAATGATTAATACAATAAAGTAAATTATTCAAAAAAATAAGATAATTTTAAACAGCAATTTAATTCTCTCTTTTCTAATGATATTTTTAATATTCCTCCTTTGTACTTATTTCTTTAACAAACAATTAAATGGGTTTATAATTAATAAAGCATCATAAATAACTTGTATATTAATAAAATAGCCATCAGTAAAGGTTATTTCATGAATCAAATTAAATTTTTCTATTAAATCTAATAATTTCAATTATTAAAGTATCAGTTTATTAAGTTCTGAATCAGTATATAGAGTTCAGTACGCATAATAATATAATATTTCAAAAGAGTTAATATAACAGTAATATAAATCAATTCATTCAAGTTCTTAATAAAAAGAATAAGAATATATACACATAATCAAAAGATGCTTTCAGAAGACTTTCTTGACCAACTTGATATATTTTCAATTAAATTATATTCTACTTGTGTTTGTTAATCAAGTTTAATTTGTTATTTATTTGCAGCAATCATATCTTTTAGAACTAATGTTTATATTGATGTTTTATTCTTTATATCAAATCTTAAAGGACTTGAAGAAAGCCTTAAATTTGAATCTTAACTTGCCTATTAAAATCTTTTTTCTTAACTCTTTTTAGTAGTTCCATCTATGATTAAGTTGCTTTGTCTTGAGGAAGTACGGATGGTATTTAACCTTAAATTTAAAGGGGCTATATTTTAAGGTCTGGAAAGGGGATTCAATTTTAGAATAGAGGGAAATTTATTTTCGAATTCACTTTGGCAGCGAAGTCTTTCATTTTATGCATATTGAATTTGCTTTAACATATTTTAAACTCGGATTTGGAAACTCATATTATTGAAGGGAGGCTTCTATTTTTAAGCATAAACTTTATGTAATAATCTACATCGGTTATTCTTCTCTTTTTCCATCTTATTTAATTATTCATTCATTTTAAATAATAAATTTATATAATATTAATTGCATCATTATTAAAAAATAAAACTATTAATTTTCATTCTATAAAGCATGCTTTATTTTATTTGATAATATGTAATCAATTTTTAAAAGTAAGGTTTATTACATTAAGATAAATCTTCAAGAACTTTTTCAATTTCATTTAATTCTCCTTCATTTATTTCATTTTCCTTTTAAAATTCTTTTATTTATTTTATTTAATTTCTAAACATTAGTTAATCAACAGAAAAAAACTAATCCTTTAATATTATTGAAAATTCTAATTCACTGAATTTGATTTGATCATTAATTTACTATTTAAAGATAATTTTTACATTCAAAATTTTTAATTTGTTAACATAATCATAACCTTCATTATTAATATCTTTAGTTTATTGTAATTTTTCATTTTTCTAAAATATATCAGAGATTTCAATTTTATTAATTGATAATGGAAGAGGAATATACAGATATTCATCAACATTCATATATGGGATATTATAAAATAAGAATATATTGTCTTCTGATTTTTCAAATTTAAATGATGGATGTTAAATTTATTAAATTTTATCATCAATATCTTCAAAAATTCCATTTATTTTGATATTAGTATAAATTATTTAATTTAAAATGGATAAACTAATTATATAAATTATTACCCAGTAGGAAGTAACTATAAAATTCTTTTGTACTACAAATCTAAAGTTAAGAATATCTAATGCAATTAAAGATTCTCTAAATAAATTTCATTTACATTAGTAGGATCACCACAAAAATATATATATGGAAAACTATTAACTTTGTCTATGATTTTTTAATCAAAGTTTTTTGAAAATATTATTATTCTGCATTCTCCAAAATTTTGATTAGAATAATTGTCAAAAGCTTCCAAATCTGCGTTCAATTTATTAACATTTTCTAAAGTAAAATCAAAAAAATAAGTTTGAAATGAATACTATAATAATAATATTAATGTATAAACCTTCATAATTTCATTTTTTAATCTTTATTACAATATGTCATTTGATAAATTAAAAATTATACAGAAATAGCATTCATGACATTTAATAAATTAGAAATTTGAGATTTTTAATAATTATAAATTGGATAATTTTGAAGCTTCTTAATTTTGAATTAGTTCATATTATATTTATATACTTTAGTTAATGAGGCTATAAAATTTTTGACTTTATTCATCATCACAAATGCTATTTGAAGTATTATTAATCGATTTAACTAATTCTCCAAATTTTTATTCTTAGGTCATAGAAAATGAAAGAGATTTATAATATTACATAAATTAATTATTTTTCTTTTGAAATATTTTTAATAAAATGTAAGTAGAGGGTAGCGATAGAAAATTGAAAACTAATAGTGTTAATGATAGTTAAAAAAGCATTTCATCCAAAAATAACTTAAATAATTAAGCATTCTTTAATATTGAAAATCAAAATCAAAAATTGATTGTAGATTTAACTTTTAAGATAGGGATCATACTTAATTAATTCAAAAGGATTAGAAGTTATTATGCCATAGTTTAAATAGATAAAGGAATTTGAAGATTTAAGACCTAAAGCAATTAAAAAATAATTATAGGATCCTTTTGAATAGAGAATGGCTTTATTAAAAAATGAATTAGAGGATGATCAACCATAAGATTAATTAACATCGATAATTCATTAACATTCTAATATAAGTGAATCAACATTTATGCATTAACTATTAATTTAAGAATAATTAAAAGAAGTCACATGCTAATTTTAAAATGATTATTTTGTTCAATTCTTAGAGAAACCAGAAAAGGATGATTATAGGAAAAGAGCAGAAATTTTAGCTAAAGTTTATATGAAAAATAATTTACAATAGGAAAGACACAAAGTAGAAGAAGAATTGAAAATTAATTAAGTATAAAATCTAAATAATATATAAGTAATTTACAGAAGAGAATGACGAGTAAGATCGTTCAATGAATATTATTATACATAAAAATCTAACTGGTTTCTATTAGAGATAAGATAGTATAGAATAAGATAATAATGAATAAACATAAGAAATCATTTAAAGAATAGATTAATTATACTTTTAATTATGTTAATCAATAGAATAAAAGATATATGAGTTATATTAAAATGATTAAATAGATGAATGTATTATTTGGAAAGAAAGAAAAGAAAATTTAGAAACAGATATTTCAAATGTTAAAGATAATGGATAACTTTTGTAAATCATTGAATTATTTAAATTTCATTATAATCTATGAATAAATGAAATTATTTAAAAATATAACTCTATTTGTACTATTTTATTTACAATATTTAATTTTATATTTATTCTTTTTATTAAATTAACAATCAAATATATATATATATTTATATTGCCATCTATGTCCATATATTAATTATAATCTATTTTTATAAATTACTGTTTTACTTTGGTTTTAAGTAAATTAATTATTTATTATATTATCTATATATATATATATATAGGTGTTATAATTAATTATAATTATGATAACTTATTGAATAATAGATTAAGTATAATAATAACAACAGAGTAATGCAAATTCTTATTAATATTAATTATTTTTGAATAATTCTATCTTCATATTGGATATATTCTGATGTGTTTCAGAATAAGTGATTGAAGAATAATATTATTATATATTTATTTAAATATAATTTAAATCTTGAAGATGAATAAAACACTCTAGGTAAAAGTTTTGATCGCATAAATAAATAATAATTATGATTTTAAGGCTAACATAAATCGAATCAATATATCCTTATAAAAGTACTCATCTAAAGATGAAATTGATATTTTAGTTTTCCCTGAAATGGCTTTAATAGGGTATAATATTCATAGAATTTATTAGATACTATTATCCTGATAAAAATGCTATAAAACCATACTTAGAAGAATATGCAAAAGGACCTACTTATGAATTTTGCAAATAATTAGCTTTAAAGTTAAAATGCTATGTTGCTTGTGGGTATGCAGAAGTTGATGGGGATAAATTATATAATTCAGCAGTTGTTGTTAATAGAGAGGGAGAAGCTGTATTAAATGTAAGAAAGAAACATTTATTTGAAACTGATAAAACTTGGGCAGATGAAGGTTAAGAATTTAAATGTTTAGAAATTAAAACAACAAAAAATTAAAAAATAAAGTTTGCATTTGGAATATGTATGGATATAAATCCATGGGAATTCAAAGATAATAGTAAATTTGAATTAGCAGATTTTTGTATACAGAATTAAGTAGATGGTTTAATATTTATGGCTGCATGGAATGTAAATATATATGATTCTATATTTTAAGGATCATGAACCTGATAATAATGACAATAGTGGAATATTAGATTATTGGGTTTGGAGACTAAAACCAATTAGAGATGGTAAATCTAATAATTATCATAAATAATTTCTTTTCGTTTGTTCAGATAAGGTAGGTAAAGATGAGAAAACATAATATATGGGGTCTAGTTGTTTGATTAAACTAAATCCTGCTAAATTAATACAAGATTTAGAAAAAAAGTAAGAAAGCTATTTAATATGTAATGTTTAATTGTGATAATATATTTTATATATAAATATTATTCATATAATTTAATATGGAAGAAAAGAAAGAAACTTAAGACCTTGCTCAATTAAAAAAGGAAATGCTTGGAACAGCTATTATCAAAGTAATAATCACTATTAAATAAAGGATACAGATATGAGTCCCGATATGCTTTCAGAAGTTTAAGACTCGATAGTTTCAGGAATTGAAAATAATTCATCTCCAGTATTATCAATTGAAGTATAATAAATTATCAATTTTATTAAAGAATGCATGCAAAACAATTAAAGAAGCACTTGAAAAAAAGTATGGTCCAACTTGGCAAGTGATTATAGGTAATTTATTGTAATAATCAATTCTAAGGTGAAGGATATGCTTATGATGTTACAGTATAAAACAATACTAGACTATTTATGTTTTATAATGGTAATTTAGCTTGTCTAGTATTCAAATCATGATGCATATTTTAAATATCCACCTTATAAAATAACTTAATAAGAAAAATTAACATTATTTAATATCTCTATATAAAAATATCTTCAAAAATTGATATTCATTTGATCTAAATCGAAAAATTAAATATGTTTAGCTTATCAATAGAACTTAAATAAAATGTTAAAGATTTATTTTTACAAAAATGGAAAATAATATATGTAATTGATAAAAAAACTAGAGTTCTTTGAACAATCTTAAACATTATAAAAATTAGAATTTATAAAACAATAATATTTATTCTATTATTTTATTCTTCTTTGAATTTATTTGTCTTCTTTCAATAATTAAAAAATAATTAAAAAATTAAAACGTAAAGAAGAGTTTTATAAATTCTAATTTTAAAAGATAACTTGAATTAACTTTTGTTTTTAAATCTACTCTATTGTAGAAATTGAAATTTATAGTTAAATAGTTACTTATATTCCTAATGAAAGACTATATGAATTCTAATATTTACAGATTATCTAAATAAATAGTATAAGTTTCTTTTCTTGTAGTTAAGGCTTTAATTAAAACTTCTGCATCTATTTTGAAGTTATTTTATTTTTTTCTTTATTGATTTAACACTTCATTTTTCAAAGAATCAAAATATTGTTAAATAACATTTACTAATTCGCTTATTTGCTTTTATTAGATTTTTAAGGTGCAATGTGTTTTAGTATATGCTTAAGTAACTGATTTTTCAAGTTATATTAAGTATTAGTTATTAAATTTATTTTGTAAATAATAGAATGTATTACTTTATTAACAAATATTTGAATAAACTTTAATCATTATGTTTTCCAAAGATTCTAATTTTTGGATATGATTTAAATTCAGAATACTCATCTAAATGCTTGTTGATACATTATGGACATACAATCTGTATTCATATTATTTGTAAATATTATTTATTGTTTGATAAAATGATGATGAAAATTGATCTAATATTAAGATAAATTACTTTTGAAATATTATATGATGTATAAACATAAGAACTAAAAATTTCCTCATTATTTTTATTCATAATAAGAATTAGCTAAATTATTATAGATGTTTACATCTTATTGTAGAATTGATTCTATGATTGGATATTAAGATAATATTTTTGTTTATTTTCTATTAAATCCTAGATTAATTTATAGATTATTGAAAAAAATTGAGACAAAAATAATTTAATTAAGTTTTGAATATTAAGTCAGTTATTTTAAAGAAAGATTACATATGATGATGTTTAAGTAGATTCATTAATTTAAAGTTTGGAATTTGGAACATTTAATTTTATAATTACTTTTAATTAAATCTAATGAAATAAACTAAATTTGGAGGAATAGAATTCAACTGTGGAGATCGTTATCAAATTGTAAAATTGATTGGATCAGGTACATATGGTTCAGTAGTCCTTGCTTATGATATATAACATAAATCTAGGAAGGTATTAGTGTATAAATAGACATCAGGTTGCCATTAAAAAATTAAATTAAATAGAAGATGTAATCGATGCTAAAAGAATTTTGAGAGAAATACTTATTTAAAGATAAATGGATCATCCAAATATATTAAAAATCTATGATATCTTGTATGACTCTTAAAATTTTGATCTTTATATAGTAAGTGAATACTATCCCACAGATTTGGGAAAAGTTGTAGCCGGTCATTAAGAGTTAAGTGTGGAACATGTTTAATTTATAATGTATTAATTATGTAAAGGATTACATTATTTACATTCATCTAATTCTATTCACAGAGATATCAAACCTAGGAACATATTGGCAAATGAGAAATGTGAAGTTTGTTATTGTGATTTTGGTTTTGCTAGAAAATTTGATGAAAATGAAGAATAATAAGGAGATGAAAGCATGACTGAATATGTAGTCACACGTTTTTACAGAGCTCCTGAAATTATGTTATCTAGTTCTCGTTACTCTAAACCTGTTGATGTTTGGGCATTAGGTTGTACATTTGCAGAGTTAATGAGTAGAAGAATTCTATTCCATGCTCCAAATTATCTTTAGATGATCAAACTAATATTTGAAATATTAGGTAAACCTTCAGATAAGGAATTAAGAACTTTTGTAACTAATGCTAATGCTTTATCATTTATTGAAAAATTACCTCCAAAAACCCCATAACCTGCTTCTTTTAGTGTTCCTTATCCTGATGCTAAAGCTAGGGATTTATTAGATAAAATGTTATAATTGAATCCTTTAAATAGAATTACTATTTAATAAGTAAGAATTATTTAATCTTAGTGTTTAGAACATCCCTTTTTTGATTTGATACGAAATAAAGAAGAAGAAATTACTTTTAATGGTATCTTAGAATGCGATTTTGAAAAAGATGAAAAAATTACATTGTCATAAATTTATTGTTTAATTTTTGAAGAAATTAATAAAGTTAGAGTAATGAATAAAGAATAAACCATCAATCCAAATCAAGAAATTCAAAAATTAAGGCTCAAAAAAAATATTAAATGACTAATTTTTACAAACATACAGTAATTTATCAGAATCGAATTCTTAATATTAATATATATTTAAGTGTTTTATATTTATTGAATAAATTTAATGGAAGCTCTAATTGATTGCATAACTAAATGTTAAGAATTTAAAGACTAGTTCCAAGATAATTCTACATATAATTTGATATCAATAAAGTAATTAGTTTTAAAAAATACTTAGATGGTTAAATAGATCTAAAAAAATCACTTAAACATAAGATATTAATAATCTTAAAAAAATTCCCTCTTTGAATTTAGATTTAGTGGATGATTATTATTCAAATATTATAGCGTATAACTTTAATTTAAAATTTAGATATGATGAACCATAATATAATTATTTTTTAAATGAAAAGTTAAAATTAAACATAGATTATTTATGTATATCCTAAGATTTATGGTAATCATTAGTGGTTGCTCTTCAAAATTTATAATAAAATTCATTAGAATATTATACATTTTAGACTTTATTTAAAGATGGAACTTTTATAAATAAAAATCTTAAAATTCAATTAATTCCTTTATATGAAGGAGTTACTAATATAATTGAAGGTTTCTAATGTTTCTCAAGAGATTGGACTATATAACAAACAATTTAAATATTCGAAAAACTATTAAATTAACAATTAACAATTTAAGTTCCTCAAAACAATTTTATTAAATTTTATATGTTCAAAAATGAACCTTAAGATTTTAGATAATTTATTAAATTGTTTCATGAAAATTAATTATTATTTGAAGAATTTAAATAAGACATTCAATATTTAAAAAATGGATAATTTTTAATCATAGATATTCAAGCATTAAATAAAAAATTTTCAATTAAATAAGAAAATAATATATTGGAATAGAGAATTCATATTCATTTAGAGGAGACCGAAATTTCCAACAAAGGATTTTCAGTATATGAGTCATAGGAATCTTTACTTAGTTGTTTATTTAAAAACTATGAATGTTCTGATAAGATAAGGAACTTTATTAATACTAATTCTAAAGATCATTTTAATTTAAATGAAATAATTGAAGAATCATATTATGGAAGTTAAGCTATTTTATATTATGAATAAAAAGACTTTGAATTATTAAAGGAGCACTCTATTACAATCACTGAGAGTAGATATGAAACTGTCTATGTTAATAGATAACCATAAAAAGTTCTATTTGATCATAATATGACAGTTAAGCAATTAGCTGAGAAGTTTTTACCATAAAGTGGATATTTATTTGAATGTAGTAATAATTATTACACAGAAATAAGTATAATATTGTATAATTATAGTAAATCCCGATATGCTTTTATGTCAAATTCCAAAAAATTACATATATAATTTAACTAAACGTCAATAGTATGAAGAAGAATTAGAAATAACTATTAATAGATGTTTTATTGAAAATGTAGGAATATTAAAATCATATAAAAATTTTGATGTGATTAGAAAATTATACATCAATAAACAAGCTAAATTTTTTGATTTACATTTAGAAATAGCAAATCTTTATGAGGAAACAAATTTAGTTGCTTATAAAGAAACAATTTTTAATAAGAAATATGAGTTGATTTTTTAGACTAATTAATAAGGAAATGAAAAATGTTCATATTGCGATCTTAAATTATGTAATAATTGTATTGTTAAATTTATTGATTAAAAATTAAACCTAAAAATTAATAAAGTTGTAATATATGCAATATACAATTAACCAATTTAAATAGAAAGGGAAAAACCTAATATTATTAAGAATTACAATTTAGAAGACTATTTTAATTTTTATAAGAGTGAAGAAGAATTCTTAATTTTAGATATCAATTAAGATCAAATTAATTAACAAGTGTTGTCTTATCCATAATAAATTCATACATATTAATTATGTGGTTTGATAGAAAAGATTGATCGTTCAAATTATCAAACATATTGTAAGATAAAGGAGAAATGGGTTTTATTTAATAAAGAAGGATATAAATAAGTAGAGGGAATTATGTAAAATTTAAAAGTAGCTAAATTATTCTATGAGAAAATAAATTGAAATATTTAATTTATGTATTTTTAAGTATTTGAATAAGAATAATATTAAATCTTAAATTAATAGTTATATATTAAATTAAATTAAGAAAAATAAAAAATAATTATAAATCATCCTAAATAATTAATTAAGTAAATTAAAATTAATTTTATTTCAATGATGAAAAACATGAATTGCAGAATGAGATATACATTCTTCTTTGAATTTAACATCAAATTCTTTTAATCTTAATAATTTTTATTCTAAAGTTGGATAATTTTTCATATTTTCTTCAATGTCATCAAAATCAACAGTATCAATTTATTTTAATACTTCTATATGAGGTTGACTAGTTATTATTTTTTAAGGTTGAGATATATTAGGTATTGCTTCTTGGAAAGAAGGTATATATTTAACTATATTTGAAGATTGAGAACCTAAAATTAATAGTATCAGTACCCATATAAGATTATTTTTTTGTATTTTATCTATTTTGATCGTTTAAACCATTTGGAACAGCTAAAAAGGAATTTTATTATATATTTTCTTATAGTTTTTCTGGTATTTTATCTGTCCATTCGAATTAATTATCATAAGTATTTGTATCTGAACATTGTCTCATAATTCTCTTTAATAATTCATAATCAGGTTAGTCTTAATATTTAAGATCTTTTAAATAACTAGTTAAGATAAACAATTTACTTCAGATATTCCGAAAAAGGAGATGGTAAATCTTTACAAAGTTATTAGATTGATGTTTACATTTTCACTTCTCCAACAACAATTGTTCTGTCTTTATCTCCAATAATCTATAAATTTTACCATGGTAATTTGCTAATTAAATTAGATGTTTTTACCCCAATATAAGATATATTATAACATACATAAGAGATTCTAAATCATCTTTTCTACCTATTTCATATCCTTTATGAGCTGCAATTGAAGCATATCGTGTTGTTCCAATAAATGACTTTTTATCTCGAAAAGGTCTAATTTTGAATTTATTATAATATGTACATATGTTTTCCTTAATCAAATATCTATTTAGAAACTCCAAAGTCAACTAAATATGCTTATGCTGAATTAATTTTACCCATCATTATATTTTCAGGTTTTAAATCTCTATGAACAATTCCTTTGTTATGTACATTATTAAATATTGTTAAAAGCTATTCTAATAATTGTAATCCTGTTTTCAATGATAATTGATTGTAATTTTTTACATAATAACTTAAGTCTTTACCTAGTATTTCAATAACCATAACATTGTAATTTTATTCATTTCCAAACCAATAAAGTTTAGTAATTCCTTAGATGCCTTACAATTTAGTTAACAAGTAAACTTCTCTATCTAATGTTTCTTAATCTTCTTTTTCCAATTTAACAGCCACCTCTTCACGTGTTACTTTATGAATGGCCAAATAAACAACTCCAAAAGATCCAGAACTCAATTTTTATTTGATAATGTATTTATTATCAAATATTTTAGGCTCCTAATAACTACTAGGTAATTTTTTCATTAATAATTTTATGCATTCTGGATCATTTATAGCAAACACTCCAATTACTGAGTTAGATGACTTTCGTAAAGAAGTACGTGGCAAAATTAACAGTAAATTTGATTAACCTAAACAAATACTTTACTAAGCCAAAAAATCAAATCTGGGATAACTCTAATAAATCTTGAGATAAAGCATATCTCCTAAATCACCAAAAAATAATGCACTTCATTAATCTTAGAATCCATCTCCTCAAATACGTAAATCCCCAGGTAGATTATCATTTCAAAGATCAAGTCTTGATTTGAGTAAACCTACTTAAAAGTAATATATAATTACTATACAGTATTTTATATCCCAAAAAATAATTGCAAGATATATTGCCATTGAATAAGATCATAGAATTATAGAGAGCCATAAAAAATTACAATCATCCTACTAATAGTAGGTAAATACTTTAATTTTATATTAGTTATTTCCTTGAACTCAAAAAACTTGCTAAAGTGGTCTTACGAGAAACTCAAGGATGATAATATTTATACAAAAACCCTTCTTTTTATGTTTTTCATAATTTTATTAATTTTAACAGTAAAATGAATACTCAACAAATTTAATATCTCTATAAACCACCCACTAGTCCATAATAATTTACATCAAGAATGTATAATTATCATTTTGACAATGAAATAGGACTATTATAGATTAGATTTCTCCTATCCGAGATATTGTATAACCTAAAACGACTCGTGCTAATCAAAATACAACAAGAAATAGTACTAAAGGTATTCCCTAATTGATTACAACAAAAACATAGCCTTCAGTCACAAGGGAATCTTGTTAAATTACAAGAGAATCTATTCATATCAAATAATCATCTTAAATGCCTATTGATAATATTTCTAAAGCCATATACTAATTAAGTTAAATTAGATAAAAATATGATAAATCACTTGAATCATAAATTGATGCAATTATAATCATGCTCAAGACTACGACTATTGATAAGGAAAACTGCAATCCAAATTAAGAGTTAAGATAATAAATTATTTCCCTTTAATCAAGCAATGAAAAATTACAAAATGAACTTTTACATAAAAAATACGATAAAAAAACAATCCAACATTTAGAATAAGTTATTGCCAATCTTGAATCTTAAACTAAATCTATTATTAGTTAAAGAGACATTCTTAAATCAGAAAATGAAAAATTATAACTCAAATTATTAAATAGAGAATAAAATTTCTTATAGTTGTAATAGGAAGTATAATAATAAAGAAACTCATGTTAACCTTATGAATTACTTTATAATTAATAAAAATAAAAAATCTAAGAGTTGGAGGAATAGATATAATTATTTAAAAAAGAAATTAATAGTTCAGAAAATGTAGTTAAATAATAAGATTATTATGATCTCAAATGGAAATTTGAATAATCAAGTATTCTTATATTTTTTATTTAGTTATTGCTTATTAAAGAAAGGATAAGGATTTATAATCTAAAGTTGAAGAACTAAAAAGATTAAAAAATTAAGTTGAATAATTATTAAAAAGAAATCAAAGTCTTGAAATTAAGTTACTTGAAATAATGGAAACAGAAGTTAAATAAAGAATAATATTATGAAATTTTAATATCTTAAAATAACACTCCAAATATAAATTATCATTCTTATTATTATTATTATAAAGATATTGATTCTTATTCTATTTATTCTTCTTAATTTAAATTCGAATCAATCATTTACTCCTATTATTATTAATCTACTTTATTTTCTTATTAAGATTATTTATCTTCCTACAAATCATCCTATTCAGATAATCTTTCATTTTATGATTATTCTTAAATAACATGTAATTTTTAATTAGATGATTCTAATGTTTATTTTTATTTCTACTCCGACTACATAAAAGTTATTATTGTGTTTTTCTTTGATTAACCATTTTTCTCCTTAAGTTAAGTAGCTTAATCATTTACTTTAACTTCTTCTGCAAATTAATCTGTTTAAATTTTATTAGTATCTACATATTTTGGATTTTGTAATAAGATTCTTTTAATCAATTATGTTCTTTCAATATTGTCTTTACCAGGTGCTATAAACTTTATATCTGAGTGTTTCTCATATCCTAAAATACAAATCTCTAAAAAATCCATAAAAAGCATTGGAGCAACTACTTTGAATTAATCATATTGATAAAAATCTGAATTTGGTTATATACCATCAGACCTAGATTTCCATTTAATTTCAAACAAGCAATCTTCTTAAGTTAAAATTAATTGAACACTATCAATTTCATCACCAATTTAAGGATAAGCATTACAATATTTTTATGTCATCTCCTTCTATTTATTAAATAGAAGTTCTTCTGAACAATTAGGATGCTTAAAATTCTATTATAAATGTCTTTAAGGTATTCCTTATTTTAATTATATATCATTTTTATTTGTATGAAATTCTTATTCATTAATTTGTAAATTTTAAATTAAATTTTTGATGTTTTCTTCAAATTCCCAAGTTGGCTCTTCATGGTCCTTCCATTTTACTAAATATTATAATTAATTATTATTTTTTCTCTTTTGTAATATCTTTTCTGGAGATCTTTGATTTATTTATTTTAAATCCTTTTTTCCACTTGACTTCATTTGTTGTTTTAATAATATTTAATATGCAAAGAATATGAAATTTGAATTCAATATGTCCCAAAAATTTGCATCCTATTATTAATAATCAATATAAATTTATATTATGAATATAACAAAATAAAAACTAGAATCTTTATTTGATCTCTCAATCATCATAGAAAAAATTAAAATTTTGGATGAATAACAATCTAATATGTTTCATTTAACTAAAAGACCTAATTATTAATTATAAAAGTAATCAAATACAGAATTTATTCCTCACATTATTAATGATTTCGAAATTAAAAGGAAGTTTAAAGAAATCTAAAATGACTCTTTTCTATCCTGGAAACCACACATAATTAGAACTAATTAAAAAATATCTTAAAAGCGTCCTTCATAAATTTCAAAAGTCAGTCCATCACCAAAACCTTTAGAACTGTCAGTTGAGAAGAAAATCCATTCAACTACATTTATGATTAAGTAAAATAATAAAATAAGGACTAAAAGTACAGATTAAAGAATTAAACTCAGGAAAATAGTATAGAATGATAAATTTATTAGGAAACAAAAGATATCGAGGCTCAATTTCTCGAAACCAGAAATTTAATAAATAGATTCAATAGAATTAAAAGAAAAGCAGTAAGATTTAATATTTTAACTTGATTTTATCAGAATAACTACTTCATTCTAAATATTTCCTCGAAAATGTTATACAGTTATTTTTTATTATATAATTACTATTATTTAAATAACCATTTCTCATACAAAAGATAGATCCATTTAATATGCATATACCATATTTTCTTTATACTTTAAGTTAGCTATTTTCTTCTATTTATATTAAAATTTCTATTTTTTTAATTATATTAGGTTTAAATATTATCTAAATTGATAATAAAAAATTTGCTTTTATAGAATTCTATTTTAATCTAGAGTTCATCGATAAAATAGATTCTACCTTTATTCTACAAGTTAATTTTGGTTTTTTATTTAAATAAATAATTTATCATATTGAATCTAAGTTTATTATCATATTTATTCCAAATTTTGCAATGTAAATACAGCTTAGAAATTATCAATTTAGTGGGAATATATTTGACTACAAAATACCTCAATTTAAGATTCGAAAATCGAATAAAACATCAAAAAAGCTAAAAACATCTCCATTAAAAAATAATTATGAAAGGTCTGTTGAATCTTCAATGAATAAATCAAATGATGAAAAAATGAAAATAATAAACTTAAGCTTGGAAATTAAAAATTAAACTTATACTTATAAAAAGCCTATTTTATATAGTTGTAATTTAAATGAGGATACTTCTGTAAATTACTAAAAGCCTATTAAAATAACTAATAGATTAATACCTTAATAACCTAAAGATTAAGAAAAAATTTTGTTGCTTGATCGCATATTGATTGGTTAATAATTTAGAAGGTTTTCTGAGAAATTAAATGATTCACATAGAAGCAAAGTCAATACTTTATTAAAATAATAATAATCAAAACCAATTTCATAAGACTTAGAAATTGATCCTAAGGGTTGGACTAATAAAAGCTCTCAAAGTCTCTTATGAATATATAAATATATCTTAATAGTTCAGACTATTTATTAACTTATAATTTATTTTATTTGAATAATCAGTACTTATCATAAACTTTAATTCTAAAATTTATAAATTATTAAATAATATAGCTTAAGTTTTATTAAACAAGAATTTTAATGAATAGAATTAGTATCATAAATGATTTAATTATGAATTAATTTAATAGGTATTTATATAAATTTTACTATTTGATATAAACATTTTGATTCAATTAATTAATCAAAATAAGCCTAATCTTTTATTAATTCTCTAAGCCTTCTTTGTTGGCAATTAATTTCGGTTCTAAATAATTACAAACTAATACTTTAATCCATGGATGCTCTAAAGCTGATTATAAAGAAATTCTTTCTTCAGGTTCTTTTATTAATAATTTTTTTATTAAATCTTTTGCATCATCTGAAATCTATTACCAAAACTCTTCTTGGAGATCATATTTGCATTCAATTATATTTTTAATAATATCTTCTGGAAATTCAGAATCAAAAGGTAAATAACCTAATTTAAATATTTGAAATACCAGAAAGTAAAAAGTATAAAATAACTCCCAAAGCAAAATTGTCAACTTTAAAATCTATTTTTTTTTATTCCAAACTTTCAGGTGCTAAATAATTTGTTGTTCCACAAAGAGCTTCTCCTTCTTTTGTTTAGATATTTGTCAAAAAATTGGCAAAACCAAAATCAATAATTTTGACTTATTTAACATTTTTTTTTGTCACATCTAATACAATCATTATATTTTCTGGTTTTAAATCTCTATGAACAATGCCAACACTGTGAACATAATTTAGAGTATCAAAAAGTTAACTCATAATTAAGGATGCCTCTTGCTCATTAATATTTTCATTTTTAATAATGTAATCAAATAAATCTCCATCTCTTACAACTTCTGTTATGATATTTAAATGAGTTTTTGTTTCTATAATTTCATGAAAACGGACAATACAAGAATGATTAAGCAATTTCATGATTTCTACCTCATGACTACAACTAAATACTAAAATTACGCAAGCATTAATTTTTCTGATTTTGATAATTTAAACTTTTCAATAATTTTTATAGCTAATATTTATCTATCCTTTTTGCATTCACATAGATAAACAATTGAAAATTTGCCTTCTCCAATCTTTTATAAAATTGAATAATAATCATTTACAGATGCTCTAAAAAATTTATTATTTAAATACTTTTGAAACATTTATAAACTATTTGTCCATCTTTTATAATCTTCAAAATCTTAACACATATATGTTCTGGTTTAATATAATTTATCTTTATGAGAAACTTCAAATCCATATTATTATTCTTAATTGTTTACTTTTTCTTATATTGTTAATCCATCAAGACAAAAGATCTCTAAAAATTAATTAATTTATTTTACTTGAAGGTAAAGTAGATTCTTTTTTCTTAAAAGATAAGCAAAATCTCTACATTAATTTAAAATATCTAGGATTAGTAATTTTAGGATTTTTCTTGCTTATTTTTTTGAGTTCTCCTTCAAGATCTTTTGGTGACATCATAAAACGAGGAACTGAAGAATTAGCATCAAATCCCCATACATCAAAGTTAAATGCTTTATAAAGACCTTCAAATATTTTTGGATGTAATTTAACAAAAGATTTAAAATCCTCAAGTGATAAACTAAATTATAAAATATAAATACTCCTAATCATTTTTGCCTTTATTCTTATAAATCATATTCACATACTTATGAACTAAATAATTAATATTGACTCTTTTTAATTCAACTAATTTTCCATTAATATTAAAAGTGATATTTTAACCAAATTGTCCCATGGGAACTCCTGTAGGTCCAATCATGCTCTCATTTGGAAACATCATTACAACACTTTATTCATTGAATACAGGCAAATTACTTTAAGATCCATGTCCAGATTCACCTGATTTTGCCCCTTAAATTGATTATATTTCTCCACTTAAAGAACTTCTTCTTTAAATTGCATGCACTATTTTCATGATAATTTTCTTACCTGATTCTGTAAACTCTTATTCATCTGCTCGTTTTGGTTAATTTTTTTTTTGATTAATCATCTCCTTTGTCTCATAATATTTAAGAATTTTTAAATCCTCTAAGAACTTTGGATCATCAAGTAATTTAATCAAATCCTCTCTTGGATAGTTTTATATCTAATTTTATAATTGTTATTTTACCATTTGCAAAAATTCAGATTTTCGAATAACACCTTATTTATCTAGATCATATAATTTAAAAAGATGTTGAATTTTTTAGTCTTCATCACATTTTATATAATGTACAACTCCTTTTAAAAATTGCTCAAAATTCAATAGACTATGGTTTTCTTGGTTAAAATAATCAAAAACAAGTTCACCCCACAACCCAATCATTGTGAAGAAATCTGTAAAAGCTGTCTTGTTGACTAAGTTTTCTACATTTCGTGATGCTAAGTCTTAATATATTAAATAAAGTAAATCAATTTCAATATCATTAACTAACATACGATAATATTGTACATTGCTATTCTAATGTTTTTGGTAAAACATAAGGTTTTTTGTTTCTTTTTTATGGCTTTCCTCCGCACCCACCCATGGAATAATAATTACTTAATTTTTTATATTACAATTATGATATTTCATTAAAACAAAGATACAAATAGAATATATAGGAAATAAATATTGTATATATCTAATTAAAATGAATTGAATTCAAAATCATAGAATTTTTGATACTCAATATTTATATCATTTCTGAAATTATATCAGGTAACATAAATTCTTAAACGATAATCAAATAATAATAAGTAACACATTCTAAATCTATTGATGTTATTAGAGTATAATTTTCTTGAAGAAATATTTATCAAATAAACAAATGGATTGAATTCACATCAAATCGAAATTTATAATAAATTAATAACAATTCACCATAATATGATAAAGTAAATAACAGTTTCAAATTATAATTAGAATCTAAGTTAGATTAAGGTTTAGTTATTCTGAATTTATTCATATATATGATCATAAAAATTAAATAAGAACGTAAGAAATAATTGTAAAAAATGATATTGTATGTTAATTCATAAACAGACTTTCTTTTTTTGAATTTCGATTTTGGTTTCATAAAATTCCTATAGATTTTATTATTTTCCTTATTCAATTTATTCCTATCATTATAATTTAAAATTACATCATTTTAACAACAAACTTCTGAGTCACTTTCATCAGATGAAATATCAAAATATTATTTAATTTACATCTAATCTGAAGTTGAAACTCTTGGAAATATTGAATACTTTTCTGAATAAATATCATTCAAATCATTTGTATTTATTTTAACCCAATTTTTATCAATTTAAGAACTAGCAACAACTTGAATAACATTATTTTATAATTGATTCAAATTATTACTAAAAAATCCTATATCAAGTTCACTATAATTAGTATATTTCATTCTTAATAATATTACTTATTAATTCTAATGTGAATTTAAACTATCAACTAAACATTATTAAATCTTAACAAGTAATTATTCCAAATTCATTAGAGTAGAATATTAATTAGAATTATAGTAAAGATCAAAGACTGATCTAAATTTTAATGCTAAAAAGTATGGATGTCTACACTTATTCCTAATATTCTATGCCATCAAATAATTATTAAGTCCTTCAAGAGTATCCTCTATTTTTAATATTTTAGATTTATCAGATCTAACAATAAGTTATTTCTTAAGAGAGAATGGATGAAAAGGTTAGATAAGTGACATAATTTTCTAATAATCAAATCTCTTAGTATTTCTGGCAGCTTTCCTTGAATCTACAAAAATTGGAGGAGAAATGACTGATTTAATAGTTAGTTCACTTTCAAAGATATCATCTCTTCTATAGATCTCAATAATGACATGAAAATGAACACCCTATAAATATGGATAAGTAAAAACCTCCAGTTTATATGAAGTTGAACTGAACTTTATATTTTCAAATTAAAAGCCTTAGATGTCATCATTATATAATTTTTCTATATTTCCTTCAAGTTCAACTTATCTAATTGTAGATACATCCTCAACATAGCCGCAAATCAATCTACATCTAAGACCTTTTGTATATAATTTATAGCTATTTAGAATTGGTTTAACAGTGATTTCTGGAAGTTTCCAACTTTTGTGCCAATTCCATCCTATTCTTTTAGAGAAATTGAAGGATTTCTACATTTGTATATTGAATTATAGTTATTCTTCAACAACTGTACAATCTTACATAATTTTATAGTTGGTTTCAAGAAGACGATATGATTCTTATTAATTTGTTTGAGAGTGAAGAGTTACTTGGCATTCAATCCACTTCCAATTATTAAGTTTTTATTTAAGTTGTAGGAATCTATTTTTCATATCTAAAAATAATGTAATTAATTAATCATTTAAAATGCTTTTTTTTACTCCATGCAGCAAATTCTTTTTTATGGTTCTTTTCAAAATGCTACACTAAGGTTTATTCTTTCAATATCTAACCATCGAATTTACATTTGAACTTATTACCTTAGAATATAAAAAGAATATATTACTATCAGTATCTTTAATGCTATCTTCTATAAACATAGGCATCATAAATAAATTTTCAGTTTATGTAAGATCATCATCACTATCTGATTATAATTCATCATCATTATCATTCTTATCAACTTCATCATCATCATCTACATCTTTCCAATCATCATCTTCATCAACTTCTTCTTCAGTTTCCCATTCATCATCTTCTTCTTTTTTTTTTTCTGGCTTCTTTTATGGTTAAGCTTATTTGAAAACAAAAGAAGTTGGTATTTTAAATTTATGTTTGCCTCTTCCTGGTCTACCAATATTAGTAAACATCTTCATAAAAGCATCACCCATCATAAAGTTCATCATAGACTCAAAATCTTGTGCAAAAAAATCATCAAAATCAAAATTCATTTGGTCTTCACCATCAGCAGTTCCAAATTTATCATAGTTTGCTCTTTTCTGATTATCACAAAGAACTATTAATATAAATTGAAAATTTAACCTGTATATGCTTGTAAAATCAATTAAAACTATTTTTTGGCTGTCTCTTAATTATCAGGGTTCTTATCTGGATGCCATTTCTACATATATAACTATAATAATGTCTACCAAAGCTAACTTTCTGTAAGCACTCTTAATCTCCTCTGTTGTAGCATTTTTCTCTACTCCCAAGACTTGATAATAATCTTGTTTATCCATTAATTAAATAATTTCAATTAAATAAGTATTTAAGTGATATACATATGAATATAATTTTATATTTAAATATTTCATTCAATTATCTCCATTTCTTATCCAACTTCAGTAAGTTCTTGTTTCTCAAAATTAAATTCATATTTCCTCAAAGCAGCTAAACATCTAATAATCTATTTTACGTGTATTATTGATAGGGAATGGATATGGTATTTATTTCTAATGGGATTTGGCATTATATTATCTAATATTTCTTCTATAATCAACACCTTCTTTTGTAATTGCAACTACATCAACATTGCTACCTGATCTATAATATTATAATCATAAATTACCCCATATCATGGAAAATACCAGCCTCAATTGCTTCTATAGCAAGATCAATAGCTTATTATTTTGTAAGACCATCTTAAAATTTGGCTTCAAGAATTCCTAGAGCTGCAAGAGATCCACTACCCATTGATTAAAATGGATGATAAACATAACTAATAAATTAATAATAATCATTTACTTTCCATGAGGAGAGACAGAAGCCAATTGTGGTCCATTACAATCTACTCCACCAATAATAAGAGCAACACCAATTTGACCTCTATAAGGAAAGAGTTTCGATGTTAATTTTGTAATCACTTCATTGACTCTACTTTATCTATTTAGATTGAGTCTCTAAAGTTTAAGTTTAGCATTAAAATGAGCACATTAATGATGTAAATCTGCAGCAGTACCTGCTCCTGCAGCCCAAATATTTGGAGCTAAAGTATGCAATTTCTCACAATTTTTATCTGCTACTATTGATCCAGCTGTTGCTCTTGTATCTGCTGCCATCACTACTCCCCCATCAAATAAGACACCAACTATTGTTGTTCCAGTTTTTGTAAATGGCATTTCTTTAAATCCTTAAGCTTTCATCAATTCATTTCTTAGATTTCAATAAATCAATTCTGTACCTCTTGGCATTTGTATAGTCATATCCACCTTTTGATTGCAAATAATTGTCAAAGTATTACATTTTTATATTATTTAAATTTAATTATCATTCAGATTGGGATAATGGATATTCAATTAAAAATATATTGATTGTAATTACAAAGGTAAAAAACTATAATCATTTTTGCCAACTGTTTAATTCAATACAAGAGAAAATTTACTATTAAGCATAAAGTACAAAATCCAAAATAATCTTAAGTATTTCTGATTTTGAAGATTATAGCCATTTCATCAAACATAGCAGATTTTATCATCTATAGTATTTAAAGATGCCTGAATCAGCAGTTCTATTCATTTTGGATACTTGGGTTCATTTACCTCCAAAGATTTTAATTTAATGGAGAATCTTATTTTATTAAGATCCTTCTTTAAACGAAGGAGAACTTAATTAAATGAAAGATGCTGATCTAAAACTTTAGATGTTATAATCAAATAAAGATGATAAACATAATTATTTATATAGTATTAGAATAGAATGAAGGAAACTGGATGACAAAGATATTTTGGAAAATCATAATAATTTACAAATTAAGAAAAATAACCTTTGAGCTATTAATTTTATTATTAGCTTAAAAAAAATAAGAAGGTCAAATGATTATATTACCATTTATTTTTAAAATGGAAATAAGAATTAATAAAAGTTTATCCTATCCTCATGTTCCTTATAATGTTCAAGAAGAATTAGAAAAGTTATAGAAGATGCCTGAATCTAATCAAAAAATTAACCTGATGAATTGAAACCACAATGATTATGAAAGGGGAGGAGAATAAGAAAGAAGAGAGCTGATTTATAATAATAATTGGAATGATAATTTTATATTCTATTAATTTACAAATTTTTTCATAACTACTATTAGTATTTGTGTTTACTTAAAATCATAAGTTTGTTCTAGATAAAGAAGGGTCTTGAAATAAATAATTATAATCATGAAAATTATTGTAAATTAACACTGAAATCTTATCCATCAATTATCTATAAAATGAGACTGAAAATACACATATAATAACAAAAAAATATTGTAAATATTGAAGGATTTCATTTTATTATTATTATAATAGATTCCATATAAATTTAATTAATGATCATAGCAATACTCTTATTCACCACAGTTTTTGCATTTCCTAAATACAAGTAAAATCTATTTGTGACCAAACCAGATTCCCTCAAAAAATTAGCATATTAATTATCAATAGCTTCTGATTTGTCAGTTGACGTGGATCAAGATTAAGTATATAAATTTATTTTAATAAGGTTTGTACTTGGTTAAAAGAATACACATTAACAACAACTCAAGATGCATATTATGCAAAACTTGCATCATCATTTTTGGAAGAATGTCAGGCAGACCTTAATATTGAATACCCAAAAATGGATTAAGATGATTTTGAATCAATCTACTATAATTCACTTTTAAATGGATTATGTCCAAAATTGGAATAATTTATTACAGTAGGAGGTGCAGCAAAACCTTCGCTTAAAAAATAAGATGACTCTTATAAAACTGCAGCTCAAGTATATCACCTTGCCACCATTTGCAATGGCAAAAATGTTCATGAAGGAATCTAAGAAGCCCTCTTTAATTTCTAAGAAATATATGACGGAGTCTCAGCAATTTTAGATAGAGATAATACAGCTGCAGTGACTGCGTAAATATTGTTCTCATTTTTTACTTTGAACATAACCAATATTCATCCAAAACTATAGGATATTCTCCGAAATTAGATCTATCAATAAACAATTATCAATTTTCTTTACTAAAGAACTTTAGTATTGGGATCTATTGACGAATAATATTGGATTACTAAATTATTTTAATTGAATTAAGTTAATACAATCATATATCCCATTTTCTAAGACTATTACTAAGCCAACAAGATGAAAATGTAAATTAATGTGAAATTTGTCAATTTTAAAGGGGAAAAAGTTTAACCTACAGAAGTTTATGCTATAATCAATAATTAATAAGATCATTTAATCTATACACCAATTAAATCTAAAGATTTTAGCGGTTATTTTGAAATTTAATAAACTGGCTTACTTCCTTTTGAATTGCATTTCCCTAATTATGTTGTAAGATTACCAATCTAAGATTTAAGCTAAAATACACAATCAAAGTATTCCGAGAAGTTGAGATTGAAGAAGTCATGTTCGATATTGTTGATTCCAAAACTTCAAAACCAAACTTCCATCATAGTGTTGAAAGCGGAGAGCTTTATCCTGTAATTCTTAAAGCAAATGAAAAGAGCTTCCTTCATATCATTATTAAAGTAATTATTTTAATTAAGTAGACTAAAAATTAAATTAAATCATAAGTTGCCATTAGATTAAATCATCCTTAATATCCTTCTGCTTCTACATAAGTGTTTGCTGAGTATGATACAAAAAGAAAGATCTATTATGGTATTATTGATTTTGGTGACCCTGATCATATTACACCACTTAATGCAATCTATTAAGTGGAATTACTTCTAGCTGATTCAAACGTTATACCTAAAAGATGGAGTTTCCTAAAAATAGATACTAAATTTTAAGCTTAAACAACTTTCTAAAATGACAGCTACTACAAATTGCCTTAAGAAATTGTACATTAATTCAATTAAGAATAACCTGAAGTTCCATTCCTTGTAATTATCTTATTTTAATCTAGTTTGTTTCATTCTTTGTTGTGGTTATTGTAATTGCATTTCTATTTTTCCTCAAACTCCTCTCAAATTTGAACTTAAGCTTTGAAAGATTACCAAAAGATAATTCAACCATTGTTTATCTCTTTTTAGCTCTAATTCTAGTTTTATTTTTTGTATTAATACTATTTTGGATTAAATTAAATTTGATTGAAACAATCACAGTATTAGGAATCTTAAGCGTACCATTAGTTGTTGTTGGAAATTATGCACTTTTAGCATTAAGAAAAACAGAAAAATTAGATTGATCAATAATATTTATATGATGCAATGTGTATTTTAATTATTTTGTTATTTTATAGAAAATCAACTTTATTTTTTTTAATTATTAGATTTTGGAGCTTCTAAAGGATGGGAATTATATCTTATTTTTGGTTATTCATAATCTTAAACTTATTGGGATTATTAAGGTATCTATTAAGATTATTATTATTATACTGGAATATTTTATTAGACTTATTGATTGTTTGAATTTTAAGGAGTAAACACTTTTTATAAAATAGATTATTATTATATTTAAGGTTAAATTGTTGCTTATTATTATTATTATTATTATTATTATTATTATTATTATTATTATTATTATTATTATTATTATTATTATTATTATTATTATTATTATTATTATTATTATTACTATTATTATTCTTATTATTATTGTTATTGTTACTATTATTATTACTATTGTTATTATTAATTATTTTATTATGGGGATATTTGAGGTGATATTGTTTCTCGAGTAGGAGTATCTTATGAGAAGTAAACTTAATTTCCTCCAGTCTTTTGAACAGTTAAATTTGATGAAAGAGGATTTTTCTTATCAAATATTACTACTTTTTTTTAGCCTAATGGTCCTTAGATTGTAGAATTAGCTTAAGGTTAGTAATACAAAGATTATAAAACTGATAATGAATTTACTTTTGAATTTGGTTCAATTTTACCATCATTATCAGCAAATTTCAATAACTCTTAAGTTTATAATTCAAAAAGCTAAAAAACTCTTGCATACTTATTCAAAACATTCTTAATTTCTTATTTATCAATCCTATTTTTAATCAAATTTATTATTACTTAAAATTAATCATATTTAAAGTTAGACTTAATAAATTAGAATAAATGACATTTTTATCTTTAAATATTTATTCTTTTGTAAATTGTGCAGAATCCTTCATAGCAGATTTATCTATTTCAGCCTCTATTGTAGTATATATGACCCCTTCCCATAAATCAATTTATTTCCATATAGGCATAGATATTAAGCTATCCTATAAGAAAAATCTCTTTTCTTTATCATCAATAGTATAGATTGTCGAAATCATAGTAATAATTCTTTTAACTAGTATCAATTCTCCTTCCCTCTAAGAAATCTCCAATAATTTTTAAGTAAAAGTGATAATATTTCTGAATCCAAATTAGCTTATTTGAGAACATCTAAATAATTAAAAAAATTACCCTGCTTATCTAAATGATTCTAAAATAATACAACCAAGTTCTCTAAAAAACTTAGATTCTAATTATTCTTCTAAAACCTTATTTTCGATTGATGGTATATTTTTCCATCCTTTAATTTGTTATTCTTGAGTACTTTAAATAATATGCTTAATAAAGCTATATATCTTAATTAATTGTGATTCTCCATATTAATCTTTATACCTATTAACCATAGCCTAAACTCCAGCTGGTTATTTATCTTCATTATTTTTAGATTTATTTTTATTATTAACTTTATTGATGAGGTTGATAGAAACTTCTTTTAAATCTTCAATAAATTGTTAATTTGCTAATATTAAATCAAATTCATCAGCGACTTCTAATTATTATTATGAAACAGTTTCTCTCTTAATATTCAAACGATGACTTAAGGATATTTAATCTGCAATAGTTTTTAAAAAAGAAGAATTTTGTTGTGAATCTACCTTAGGATAATTTTCTTTTGTCATTCCAATTTAGCTTGATGGTCCAGGTGCAAGAGGATCACCCTAAGGATCTAAATATTTTTCAGCTTCTTTAAAAAATTGTTCACTATCATATTATAGATTTCTTGTTTTGGAAATTTCATAGACTAATATTTTCATTACTATATCCTAGATATATATTGTGAATAAATATTTACTTTTGCAATTGAAAAGATTTGATTATGTTAAGATATTAATTATTAGATTCCATTTTATAATAAAGTGTTATAAGATTAAACTAAATTATTATAGATAGTAGCAGCTTATCTAAGAGCTGATTCATTCTCTTATTTATAAACTAATTATTGATTTAACCTAACTTAAGCTTTAGATCTAGACTCAGGATTACATTCTTTATTCCAACATTATGCTTCCAAAGTAATGGCAGCTTCTTCATAATCTTTAGATGCTCTAAAAGTTTTATCCTTTTGTCGATCATATTTATCTAAAGCAACTTTTATTTCCTTATCCATTTTCAAGACTTCTTGTATCAAAGGTTTAAATTGACATTAGATTTATTTAAGATTATTTATAGCTAGTTCAACATCATGTTTATAAGATTAATTAAATTGCTATTTTATCATATATTTATTACTTTATAATATTGTGCTCTTTGATTTAAATCAATTTTAACTCCCTTTAATAAATCATCAATGTCACCTCCACTATTTTACATTTACCCACTGATTTTTTCAAGGGCTTTGTGATACTTTTCTTCTGCTTCAGAGCGCTCAAATAATTATCCCAATAAGATTTCAGTCACTTTACTTCTATCACTAACTCTTCGATATAGAACATCGAAATTTGTAGCTAGTTATTTAATACTCATTTAATTTTAATTAATTCCATTAAATGAATTAAATGTATTAAGATAAAGCAATATTATTAACAGAACTACAATAATTGAAGTAGAGAAATCTAAAATTGGAATATGAACTAAAAGAACTATTTTAATCTTATAATACTATGAGATCTAAATCCTCAAGAGAAAACATTCATTAATTGGAAGAAGAATTAGATGATTTAAAGTAAATAAATTTTGAATAGAAATATCTAGGATTTAACATTAAAATATGAAGGATGGTTTTGATTATAAATTAGAGTTATTGCGTATTCGTTTAGAAAAGGTTAATTAGGAGAATAACTAATTGAAATTAGAAAATTCATAATTAATTTAACAGTAAAATGAACAAATATAATAAACATAATCCATGATTTAGATGGCAAAGTAGAACAAAACATTATAAAATTCATAAATTGATAATTTCAAGAATTAAGTTAATAAAATAAAAACTGTTGTTGAATAAAAAATAGTTAAGAAATCTAATAAAACATTAATGAATGTTAAAAAATGATCTTTTATATAATTAAAATTTTAATTATCATCGTTAAAAAAAATGATTTAGTATATCTTGGTAATATTTGAATAAAGACATATAAAGTATATATATTTATGTATTCTATTCTTCTTAATTAATAAACACAAGAACCTAAAAGTTAACATTTTAAATAACCTATTTTTTTATATACAAATATAGGGAATCCATTTCTATCAATATTTTAGAAAATAAATATATAATATAAAATATAATATACAAAATATGATTCCAAAAAGAACAAAAATTGCTAGTTTATATGAAGGCAGTAACACAATATCTCTTGATGATATGGAAACACCTTAATTTAATAATACTAGAAGAAGAGTACTCACTTAAATTGAAGAAGATTAACCTAAATTAGTTTTACCAAAGATTAAGTTAGGAAACAACCACAATAATATTTAATTTATTAATAATAATGAGAAAAAGTTTAAATTAACTGGAGCTAAAGATGCCTTCTTTAGACCAAGATAAATAAATAAGTTACCCTAAATATTCTAAAAGTAAGCATTAAAAAAAAATGAAAATAATCTATCTCAACCTGAAATTAGAGAATTGTATTCCTACAATAATAATAAAGCTTCTGCCTATACTCTCAGTATTCATGATTGATGTTTTGTTATATTTAGTTTCAAAACTAATTATTATAATAATTATTATTGGTTAATTAATGTATTATCAAGAGAATTATAGGAAAGCTCGTCAATTTCTCCACTAAAGATAAAAATTAATAGATTTTTAACCTTGTAAATTAAATCAACCATAAATAACTACAATACGTCAAATCTTAGAGGTAATACGATCAAAAGAAAGAAGCAATAGCTAATTTAAATATATAAAAACTACAGAGTAAGAAAAATAGGATGATTATCAAAAACCCTAGATACTTATATCTTCAAATTTAGAACCAAAAGATCATAATCAATCTCTTGCATCCAAACTATTAAGATTAAATAAAATAACTCGAAATAAAACCTAAGTTACACCTATCTCATATAATTTTATAGATAGAATTATTGAACCTTTGAAAAAAAAAACAGAAATCTAATCTGAATAAAATTCTCCTTCAAGGATTCGAAAAATCATACCATGTATTGAGTATTAATTGCCTACCTAATTGATCTTTTAGGATAATCAGAAATAAGTTAACAATATCATTGAAAGAAAATTTTGTATTCAGAAATCTCGACCTAAAGAAATTATTAATCTATAGCAGCCTCAAAATAAGAGTATATAAAATTGCTTGTCTCATCATTAAATTATTAATAAAGAAAAAGCAAGTCCAACATTAAGGAGACTAAATAAAACAAGTTATTAATGTGAATAAGTGAAATTTATTAATTCAATTTAAAATTAAAAAATTGAAAAATAAATATAATAAATTAGAAAAGTAAGTGGTTGGACTATCTAGAGCCAAGAAAGTGTTCAAACATTATTATGATTTATTTCTGTGTGTTACTAAATATATCTTCATTTTTTTAATTTGATATTTAAAAACACTTGTAGATGATTTCATCTTGAATTTGAAGAAACAAGGAAGATTATTAGAATTAATAAATTCATATTTTAATTATTAAAACACTATTTAAATTATCAAAGTTGAAACAAAATTTCTTTACTTAAATAATAATAAAAGTGAGTTGTAAAACTTAGTAAGAGAGTCTTTTAAACTTTGAAGGTTTTAAACTTTATTTTATAAATTCATAATCCTCAACTATTGAAAATTCTTTTTATTACAAATCTTATTATATTTTATATGATATAGAATTATTATTTTATAAATCCAAAAAATAGAAATTATAAATAAAATTATTAACTTATTGCTTATCTTGAAAAATACTTCATTTTTTTTATCTTGAATAATATATAAATATTCGTATTTATTTCATTTAATAGATAACTTATGGAAAAAGCTTTAGAAAAGGGTCTTTATAATTAAAAATAGTGGTCAGGCTAGTTGAAAGAATTATTAAGAAGATTTAATCTCAAATCTTTTTATGAATATTGAAAAGCAATATTAAATTATTAGAATTGAAATTTTTTGTTATGAAAACTATTATATATAGAATATCCTCTTTATATAAAGTTTATTAAATATTAAATGAGCTATAAATAATAAATTTAGTTGAATATATAAAATCACATACTAAATATTATGGGAAAATGGGGATCCTCTTTTTATCTATCTTTAATAGCAGTGAGTGTTTTAATGAGATCAAAATTAATTTCATGTGTAATTATAGAATCTTAATTATAATTTGGATGTGAAGTTACAAAATCTCTCATCCAAGTAGCAAGTGTTTTAGTATTACCATTAACTTTATTTCTTACAAATTCTATAACTTCATCTTGAAGTTTTTTATTTTTTTAATAAATGTTTTCTTCCTTCTCTGCACATGACTATTTATTGATAACATTTCTATTTTAATAAATTAATCCTATTATTCCAATAAAAGATCCATCTTATTTACCAAAAAATATTTCTTATAAAGTTAATTCTTCAATAGTAGCAGGACCATATTCTTAGAAGTTAGTTCTAAAATAGAATTTTTAATTTAAAATAGCTCCTTTTTCTTTTGATCTTCTCATATTCTCATCAACAAGTGATAAAGGCATATAAAAATTAACTGGAATATAGTTCTAAAGATAAATATAATAAATTACTGTAAAGAACAATCGAACAATCATAAGTATCATTATAGACCATGCAGCATTTTCTTCAGCAGTCAATTAAATTTCCATTGTTCTAAATTCCACTCTCCATCCAATTTTTGAATTATAAGAAGGAGGTGGTTTAAATCTGACAGAATTCCAATTACTAGATTAGATTGCTTCAAAATGAGCTGTATTATCATCAATATGTATTTTATCTTTAAACATAACCATATTATCTCTTAAAAATAGGATTCCTAAATGTCTAAGTAATTTATCATCTAAAGGTATTTCCATTTCATTTGCTTTTTATTTAGCAAATTGCATAATTTCTTCATTAGCTGGAAAATTAAGATCATTATATTCTTCTAAATTCATTTTATCATTAGAAATAAAATATGAAATAGAAGAATATCTTGATTTAGGTATATAATTTGGATTTTAAGGATTTCTTTCATTTTCACTTCTACAATCAACTGACATTTCTAAACAATCCCATTTAGTATCCCAATTAGATATTTTTCCTTTATATATTGGACTACCTGCAGTTAAGGCTGCAAATAAAGGAGCCAAAACAGCTAATTAATCATACAATAATCTTGCATGATCAATATCAATACTCAAATAAGTAGTTTAGAGTGCACAATTTCCCATTCCAAAACCCATATGATCCATTGTTATATATCTAATAATAATAAAATAAAATAAATACCCTGGATTTGGTTCATATTCACTCTATTCTATTTTTGTATTTTAATCAATATACAATGGTATTTTGATTTCAACTTTTGATCCTCTTCTTAATCTAATATTTTAAGCTAAAGTTGAATATCTAGGATGTGGATTAATGATTCTATCATCAAAGTATATACTTTAAGAAAAGTAATTACAAATAGGTTCAACTGGTAATTCTTTATATGGTGTTGCTGGTTAAATCAATTTTTCATTTTGGAATTATTTTTCATCTTATTACAATGTTGGAGTTCCTTCTATATAACTTGTTTGACTTCTGATCTTCTCAATCATAGAAGCTGTTAAATCACTCTCAACAGTTGTTGTAAATCTACCAACTCCCATCATTGGATAGACAGGAATAAGTAAATATTAATTTCCTTATGGTAAATAACTTTAGAGTGTTTAAATTCTCTTTCTCATGTTTATTAAGACTTAATCAAAATTGAAGCACATGCATTAATATGGTTTATTTGGAGTTAATTCAATCATCCAAGCACCGAATTCTGGTAATATTACAAATGGTAAAACTTTTTATTGTTCTTCACCTAAACTTTAAAATAAGCCGCCTATATTAATCTATATTATATTTACTTGTATTAGGGTTCAAAAGTGCTAATTTCTAATCATCATACAATTTAATAACATGACCTTCAAATTCATCACCCCAGAATAATTACATTTTAGTCTGTATTTATTTCACATTAGGATCTGAGAGATGTTCAAATTAATGTTCATGTAATTAGAATTTCCCAAAGATTTTTAACAAACTCAAAAATTACACTATTCCTTTTTCTTTAAGCATCTATTAAAATGCCAAAGATTCAAAGTAATCATAAGTTACTCCTTTATCGTTCAAATATCCCATTTAATAAGATTTTTTTTTAATTTAATGAATTTCTTAATTCTTAATATTTATATATAAATTAACAATTCACTATTAAAATAACAATTTTTGAGGAATTTATTACATATTATCCCAATTGTAATGAACTAATGTCTTATCAAATGTTGGAATACTAAATAAACTTTTTCCTGTATATTATTTCATTTCATTTTCATATTCTAATTTTTCTTCCATATTCCTAACTATTTATAATTACAAATATATTATTACATTCTTTTTTTCCTGTTTTTTATTATATTTAAATTAATTCTCCATCAATTTATTCCTTCATATTATATAATATTCTATGCAAATGAAATTCTTTTTGTGTTTAGTCCAATTCATTAAACTATTATAAATGCTCTTTTATTATATTTATTGAATCATCCATATTAATTTTATCAATTTTTTCATTTTTCTAATATAATACAAATTATCCTCTTGGTAGAATAGCTAAATATATTTATTCTTTGACTAAATGCTTAAATATATCAAATTAATCAAAATAATCTTCTGATCTCTCAAATACATATTTTTTTTATTCTTCATCTGTTAAATACTCTTATAATATATTTTTTAATTCTTCATCATTAATATCAATAGATCTCATTAACATTACATCTCCATTTTTAAATGATTATGATAAACTTATTCCAATTTATTTATTTTTATCAATTTGTTCTACTCCTAATCCTATTACTATAGCATATGTGCTATTTTGTTAATGGAATTATTCTTAGAAATAATATAATTTGAATTATTTTTAATTTTTTTATTTCATTATTAATTTAAATTAATATTTAATGTTTGTATTAAATTAATCTATATATTTAAAATTAACTCAATAAATATATTGTTCAACATCTATTTAATCATATTTTATTAAATTTTATATAATTTACAAAGATAGATCCCAATTACCTTATTCACAATAAACAATTCTTGAAACTTCCTAAAAATAAATATCTAAATTATACAGCTTACAAAAGAGCTTTACAACACCAAACACATGGAAACAAAGTTGTATACAATGTAGTATTTCTAGTTTGTGTGATACCTAATTCTAAGATGCATCCTTCTTCTGCATGAATGCACATACATTTATATAAAATTAAATCTAAAGTTTTTGATTCTTTACAAACATCACAACCTCCTTCATTACAATTTTTCATCACTTTTGGAGTTCCATTATAAGAGGTACTTAAAATTCTTTTATTGTTGTTAACTAATACTGCTCCAACACTTTTTTTCATACAATTACTTCTCTATTTAACTGTGTATGCAATCTATAATATAATATTAGATAATATAACTTTCATAAAATATACATCCCAATCAGGTCTAAATGGTCTAATAATTTTAGTCTTTTATTGTTTCAAGTTATTGGTGAATTCCTCAATAGTATTTGTATTATTTTTTAGATATACCTTACAATTCTTTGCCAACTCTAAGAAATCTAAATCATATTTTTGCTGAGATATGTAAAAACTTTAATACTTTATCATCAAGTTTTACAAAATCTTCAAACTTAATTTACCCATGCTTTTCACAATATCTTCTATATCTTATTACTGAAGGTGCATCCAAAAATATTAAATGAAAATAATTTCTTTTCTTTAAAACTCGTATTTATTCTTTTGTAGTGATTGCTGTTATTATTGTGGGTGTATTCCAATTATTATAAATTTTCATTGCAGTTTTATTCAAATCGATCTCCTGATCAAATTAAACTATCTAATAGTCATACATTTCTTTCATTAATTAACAAAATAACATTTTTCCTGAACAAATACCACCCAATACTCCAATTATGGACATCTAATAAATAATTAATTATTGAACAATAATATAATTAATCAAATTCTTTATAAAATTTTACTGTTGTTCTTATACAATAATTATATACACTAAATAATTCTAAAAATAAAATAATATACCTTATAAATAGATTTTTATAATTTAAATAGAAATAACAATTCTAAATAGAGATATAAACTCTATTCTGTGAATTATTTATTAATAAAAGTTTATTATTATTTTATCTGTTAAATGAATTTAGATCTGTCATAACAATTGCAAAATTACAGATAAGAGATTCACAATAAGTTCAAATCAAAATAAATTATGGCTTAAACTATCTTTAAATTAGTATTAAACTTTTTGATTTTGTTAACTAGGCTTCTTAATAAAACAAAAAGGACAATGTCAATTTAGCTACTTTGAAATAAGACTTGAGTAGATAAAAAACTAAATAGAGAACTTCAGTTTCTAGTATTTTTAAAAAATATTTAGTTTAGATTTTTAAGGAAGTCCTTTGAAAAATGTTGTAAGACAAAATTAATCACCAAATGTTTAAATAAGAAATGAGTTTAATTCATCTAAGTTTATAATTCCCATAAGATCAATGTCACAATTTAAACAATCACCTTAGTAATCGAAGTTTCAAATTCCAACTCCAAGAGATGTTAAATAAAATTAAAGTGCTGTTAAATTATATTCATCAAAATATTAAAAAGTATTACCTAGTGAATAAGGCAATTATTATGGTTAATTGTAAGCCAAATTAGATGGTTTAGCATTATTGATAGGATCTGAAGAGGATTATCATTAGAATGCCAAAGATGTAGAAAATGTAATTGAAGAAACAATTAGTAATTATTAAAGCTCAAATAAATAAAATAAATTTGACAAACTAAAAAGTTAATAGTAATTGTTAGAATAAGATTTGAAGCAATTAACTTTTAAAATATCTAGATTTAATGTTTATAAAGATTGATCAAATTTGTGAAACGTTATTACTTTTTTTATATTTAATTATAATATTAATAACTTAGAAATTATTAAATATTATTTTAGACACTATATTATATAATTTTGTAGGTTGTATAAATAATTTTTACAAGATACATTTTATTTATACAACCTTTGAAATACAATATATATATAATTTAGATTAAATTAAAATATTGATTAATTAAGATCCAACATTAATGATATAATTTAAATATTGACAACTTAGTTTTTGAATCAAGATAAAAGAAATAAATTTTTATTTATAATTATTTATATCAAACATGTCTGAATCTAATGTTAAAGGAAGAGTCTAAGCTATATTTGAAAAATTAGATAATATCTCAACTAGTGTTCAAGATGAGTAATTATTTTTACCATATCTCTTTATCTAGGAAGAACAGTAGATTTCATAATATCTCATAACTCATTATGGCTTTTGAAGCCTAATTACAACATAATTCTGAACAAAAAGAAGAAAAATTCAATTATCTTGCATAGAGAATGAGATAACTAGGTGAATATTTAGAATAGGAATAAGAGGAGTATTATATTATAATTATTAATCATAGTCGTTTAAGATAAGAAGCTGAAACCTAAAAGTTACTAACTGATTTGGAACGACATGCTAGAAAACAAATAGAATAGAACTCAAATTAAAGAGTAGAATAAGAAAGAAAAATCGTTTATTAGATTGGTTAGTAGATGGATAATTTACAAGGTGAAGTAGTTAAAGAAGGGCTTGTAATAATTTATAACAATATATTAGGCTTAATCTGAATCATATTAATTCGTTGATGCATATATGAATGAAGATCTTCCAAAATTAGCAGATGAATTATAAAATGAAATAGGAGAGAGAAAAGATGTAGAGGGTAAAATCTAAATATAATTCTTACAATAATTAACAGATTTAAAAGAGGCTTTTGATAAGTAACCTAAAGATTATATTATTATAGAGAGAAAAAGGAAAGAGAAGTTAAAGAAGAGGAAATTGTTGAAAGTTTAAGAGAAATATCAGGTAGAATAAGCGAAGCTTTGAAAAAGACAAGAACGGAAAGAGAAAAGACTGAAGAAACTCTTGTATAATTGGTCGAGAAAGTTGTTGAAAAGATCAAACGGGAAATGTTAGAAATGAATTTATGAATCATTTCTCATTAAAAATTAATAAATAAATTTTATTGAAAAAATTGGATTTAAATGAGAACATAAAGTCCCTTATTTTCTCCTAGCAGTGGTTCTAAGACTGCCAATTTTTTAACTCCTTCTAGAATTAAGCATTCTTCTCAACATTCCACTATTGAAACTCCAAATACATCTCTTTAAAGAAACATAATTAATTTAAAATCTGGAATTTCTCATCATTCTCCATAACCATTTGATACATCTAGATATTAAATTATATCAAATTATTTTAACTAAAAAATCATAACTAATAATCATAATAGAAATGAGAGTCCGTTAAAAATACTTCTCAAAACTGGATATGATTATTAAGAGGAAATAAAATAGTTAAGAAGAGAAAATTAAGATTTGCATTTATTAGTGAAAAAATAAAGAGAGTAATTATAAGAAGTTTAAATGGATTCTTAATTAATTGAAGAAAATTAAATGTTGAAAGATATTATTCTAAAATTACAAAAAGAAAATGATGAATATAAAAGAAAATTAAATAAGTGAAATATTTATATATCTAATATATTTATAATAATATGATAAATGTTGTTTTTGTTTTTAATAAATTTTATACTTTTCTTAATCTTTGAATTAATTTAAATTAGGTTTAGAATAAGATTCAATCTAATCAGAAAATTAGTAAGTATAATATATCTAATAACTTTAAAAAAAGAAGTTAATATATGTGTTAGGAAAAATGATGATTATTTTTATCATATGCAAATAGAATTTAATTATTTTTGCAAAATTTCTATTGTTAAATTATAAGAGTTTTAGATTCTTTCCATTTCTACTTTTTAAATTGTAAAAATATGATTAACTAATATTAACAAATTATTTATACTATTTCTATAAGCTATTCTATAAAGAAATACAGAATAATTAAACATCTAGTGTTATTTTCCTCAAGATTTTTATAGAAAAAAAAATTAAAAAAATAATGGGATAAAAAAATTAGAAAGCAACACCTGTTCAAACAAGAGAACCAATCGAAATAAAGTTTGATTTAAAAAGTATATGGAAACTACTAAATACAGAATTTAAAAAAAATTAGGAAGAAAAAGATAAGTATATTTCTAAGGCAAAACAAGCTTTAAAATACAATGATGATGAAGTAGCTAAACAATTTTTGTAAATAGCTTTGAATAAGATAAAGGTAAGTTAAAATTTCTTAAGAATGGCAAATAGGGTTTTATTTTTATTATAAGAAGTTAAAAAAAGTACACAAACAAATGTTGATGTATTAATGAAATTTATAAGAATTTTAGTTAATGTAATAATTGAATGTTGTAACACCAATTCTGTTATAATATGCAAAAAATATGTAAATTGAATAATCATAATAAAATATAAATGAAATTGACAGAACTTTAGATGATATAATGGTATAATGTAAAGTAATGGATCCTATGATGAGTAAATATGACGATAATTTTTAAACAAACTTGACAGTAGATTATATGATATAATAATTAAAAAAAGAGGAAGCTTAACAATTACAATAACTATAACCTTAAAGTATATAATATAAATATATATAGGTATGACATTTCAACAAGTATAATAATAATAATAATAATAACAGTAATATAAAAATTAAGAACAGTAATATTGATTGAAATATTATTGATTTAGATAGACAAATATGATAAAATTATAAAATTTCTCAAACTTAACCTTATAGATCAACTAAAATAACAGTGATATCATCATGCAACTTTCTTCTTTTGCCTAATGGTATCTTTTTAATTTCTTCATCAGACATTTTATTGGATTTAGCTGCATGAGAAAGGGATTCTTCAAAAATATGTTTAATAATCTCATCTTTATTATTTTAATTCTTTTAAACAATCTATTAATAGTTTGAAAAATTATACTTTAGAGATTTCAGATTTTGTTAATTCATCCCATAATCCATCAGAACCTATAACTAGATATCTATCTCCTTTTTGAATTTCGAATACCTATTAATCTGGTGTAGACTAGAAATAATTAAATTAAATACACTAATATAAGGTCCTTTAAAATTCGAGATAGATTTCAAATATCCTTTATCTTCAGATATATTTTTAGGATTATTGAACTCTTAGAATTTCAATCTGAAATCCCCTAATGATCTAGTTGGTTACAATCTTCCTTTAACATAACAACTCTTGTCTCCACTTTTGCATACAACAATATCATCATCTGAGAATACAGATTTTAATCTTCTTTATTCTTTCTTTGAGTTTGCATTTAATGTATGATTAATTTTCTTATATGCTTTTTCGTTCGCTAATAAAAATTAATAATAAATTTACCTTTATTATTAACATTAACAATAATTCCTTTGCTATCTCCTAAATTTGCACTATAGACTTTATTTCCAACCACAATTGCAGTCAGAGCACAACTTCCTACTCTTGCAACTGATGGAAATCCCATATTGTAAGCTTATAATGCAACTTTATAAAATTCTTCTTCCACATCAGAATATGCTTATGATATACTTTATTATATTAGATCATCTTAATTCTATATTTTATCTTAATTTTTAAGCACATAATGATCAATTTTCTCATGTAAGATATTCATTGCTAATTCTGCTAATTACCAACCTCCATGTCCATCAAAAACACTTACTGCATATCCATTAATATTCTTTAGCTAATTTACTTTGTATCTATCTTCAATAGGATTGTTTGCTGCATATTAAAGTAATACAACTCTTTAATCTAATTGATTTTTTTTTAAAGATGAGGATCCAAAAAAGCATTTAGTTTCGTCATTCATATATAGATGGCATCCATATATCATTATCAATGGTAAAACTATATTTTTATAATTATTTTGCTATCTTTCATTATTCTCACCTGAATATGATTTGGATAGATCACAATATTTAGTATTAGTTTCATATACAATAAATTAAGCATTAAATCCATATTTAGCATCAAGAAATTATTAATCAGGTTTTGTATACCTAAATAATAATTCATCAAGAGCAGAAAGACCTGATTACTTCTTGCTTTTCCTTTTAGTTTTTTAATCTAATTGAAATAATATTCCTATAACATACCTGGAAGCACTAATGATTTAATTGTTCTATTAAAAAGAAATGACAGAGGTTTCTGGATCAAGGATGTTAAATTCTTATACATTTTTATGGTTAGTTAATATATTTAATAAATTAATTTGGACATTCACATAAATAAATTTAAATGTATAATTGGTTAGAAATTATTTTATTATCTTAGATGTCTAAAAATATATTATATAAATATCTAAGTCTTAAAGAAAATACTATGATTATACCTTAAATAATCAAATATTTTTAATAAAGGATTATTATTAATAAAATATATTTTATTCTTAGGTTGTTAACTTATTTATCTTAACTTATAATTTATAATTGCTATCTAAATTTGTTTAGATACTTTCTCATAAATAATATTGAATTCAGAAAAGAAAAACAAATGAAAATTTTTAATATTAAATTCAAATATGTATCGTATTGGTGATCAGATGAGTAAAACAAGTTAAAGTAGAGAGAATAGTAATTCAAATTTAGAAGAGTGTATGCATAACATATAAAGCAATCTAAAAATGATGTATGGAAAGGATGAGGAAGAAGTTCATCTTGGATCTTATAATGTTAATGCAGTTTCTGGATTTCATAGTTAATTCCTTAGTAATAAGGATGATTAATATGATTCTTAAAGAATGCATTATACTTCTTCATAATCTAACGATTTTATGCTAGAGGACAAAAATAAATAAATTCGTTAACTTAATAAGGAATTAGCAGATTTAAGAAAAGGATAATAGATGACTTAATTTGAACAATATGAACACTATTAAAAAATAATTGATAGTCTAAAAAAGGAAAATGTACTTTTGTAATAAAGATTACTTAATAATGAAGCTGTTTAATAACTTAATAGTGAAAGAGTTATTGAATAATAAGAATAAATAAAAGAATATGAATAGAAATTGGATTAATAAAATTAACAAATTTCTAGTTTAAATTTACAATTAAAGGATACTAAAGATTAATTGAAATTATATACTACAAAGTCTTAAATTTCAAAACAAGAATAATAATCTCAATCAAAACACTATACTTAATTATAATAAGAAAATGATGAACTCTAAAGAAGATATATTAAATAATAATTAGAAAATGAAAATATGAAAGTATTAATTGAATAATTATAAAATGATATTGATAAAAGATTAGAAACTTAGAATGATTCATAAGTAGTTGAAATTATTGAATAAGTTCTATAGACAATATCTTAATTTGTAAGAGAATATGATTATGAATTACAAAAATCAGAATATTAATACAAGTTTTCTAATGAATTAAAAGAAATAATAAAAGGATTTATTACTTAAAGAGAGTATTAATTTATTATAAATTTAGTTTATCAATTTGGTAAAATATCGATAGATTAAGTAGTTTAATAATATCATTATTTGAATAACTTACATTTGATGTAAAATAGATTCATTCAGATAATATAAAAATAAAAAATATGACATTATAAATAGAATCATTAGAATAGATGACAGTATAATTAGAATAGACTATTAGTTAATATGAAATAATAAGTAGCTAACAATAAAACTATTTAAGATTGTAATTATTATTTATTAAATTTAATTTTAGTAATGATGATCAAAATAAATAAGAAAAAGAAGAATTAGTTAATGTACTTATTAATAGAACCTTAAATGATTAATAAATAAATTGTTATGATAAAATGATAAAGAATTTAGAAGAAGTTAATTAGGCATAACAAAATGAGATTAAGGAATTAAAAGACAAATTATCTATTTAAATTGAATAAAATTACTTATATTAAAAATAATATTAGGAAGAATAACATTAATAAAAAATATATGAAAGCAAATTTAAAAAATAACATTATGATAGTTTATTTTTGAAAGAAATCATGAATAAGTATAATCATAAAATAAAATTTTTAGATTAGTTATTTTAATAGGTAATGAAATGACTACAAAAACTATTGAACAAATTTAAGAACTATAATAAAAAACAAATGATTAATATTGTGATGAAATAGATATCAAAAGTAAATTAGAAATGAAAGAATAAGATCTTAAATTATAAATCAATGAAAATAAATTAAATATGAATGATATGATAGAAAAAAGAAGAGAAATTGAAGTCTTAAGAAATACTTTAAGAAATTGTCAAAAATAAATAGAAATTAATAAAGAAAAAATTGATATGTTAGTTAGAGATTTAGATCATAATGTAATGCAAGAAAAAAGCTAATAGTTTGCTATATCTTATTTGCCAAAGACTTTCAAAAAAGAAAATGAAAATTTGGCATAGAAATTATAAAAAACTATGAGAATGTGATGATCTTATCATTTACTTACAATTATATTATTTATTTGATATTTTATTCAATTCACTTATGAGATTTGATTAAAATACTATATAGCCTAATTATAGAGATTTGTATATTTAAGTAGTTCCTCATGTGTACGTTCTGGAGCATGTATAATACTTTTTATACATTCAGAAGCATTAATAAGATTTCCTATTTTAGTTTAATCAAAGGCTATCTTTAATTTTTATATTATTTCCTATACATTATATATATAACTCACATCTTATGGAAATATTTGTTGCATCTCAATCAAAATATGCTAAAACACTATTTACATTGGATCTTCTGGTTTAGTTTAAGGAAGTGGCGAAGAGATCACTTACATTTATTATTAATTGATTGTATTTTGTTATTAAACAGAATCAGGATCTCATATAAATTAAGTTTAATACCATGCATATATTAACAATTAGACCCATTTTTACAATAATTTTATGCATGATATTTGCAAGGAACTGAATTTAAATTCTTCAATTTATACTTTAAAATACAGATGTTTGAGGTTTATTGACTGGTTATTCTATTCCACTAGCCATAGCTGATAAAGCAGAAGCAGGTAAAGGATCTGATATTGATGATTAAAATCCATACCATTCATTTATCTTTGTTCTTATGTACCATGAGCAAATTAGCATTTAGCTCCAATAGCACATTATTTTGTAGCTTTTCTTAGACATTTATATACCTAAATAATGTCGACATAACATTGTTTTATATTTTGCATTTGGTACACTCTAAGTTTAAAGTTAGCTTCCTCCAAATTAATAAGACATATATTTTAATATAATTGTATTTATTAATCTTAATAAATTTTGTTATTGACTTTATTTTATGAAATTAAAAACTAAATATTTGATCTCTGAAAATCTTCCCACATCTTGAATTTAAGAAAAACTAATAATATTATATCTTATCTTATTTAGTAAAAGTATTATTGATAAAATTTGTTATACCCATTTAAACCAATATCTTTGTATTTTAAGTATTGTAAATAATTATTATTTAGTCTTCTCAAAAGTAAAATGTTTAATTTCAAAAGAATTTTTGAATTTCACAATCTAATCATTCATTAAATTGATATTATTTTGTTAAATAAATATTCACATTATCAATAAATAATTAAAGGATTATTTAAGTATAGGATTAGAATAAGCTATTAGTTCAACTATTTTAGTTCAAGATAAATGAATAAAATTTTTAGGCTATTTGTAAAGTTTTAAAATATCCTAAGATACATGTTTATATCATTAATACTATTATCAACGTATATGTAATTCTAGTTTAAATTGATCATAAATTTAAAACATAATTTATTATCTAAAGATGTAAATTTTAATAAAAAAGAAAATTGATTTAGAATAATATTATTATAAAAACTATTAAATCATTTATTTATCTTTCATAAATTGAAAATATCATTTAAAAAATGATTTATTTCAATTCTTCATTTAAAATGCAATTTCAACGCTGAATAATTAAGAATTAAAATTAGAATTAAAATTAAAAAAGCTTCTAATTCTATTATCATCAATGGATAGAAAATTATATTAAGATTAATTTAATATATTATTCTTTGATTTTTATCATTTATAAATAATGTATTCACCAAATGAAAGCATTTAAATAACTTTATTGTACTCAATAGTCACTGATTATGCATAGGAATTTTAACTAGATAAAATAAATTTCCATTATAAAAATATTCAATAGATTTCCAATGATCTAAATGATTCATAAAAAGTTAAAATCAAAGGATTATTTGGATGCTAGAAAAATATTGAAAGAGAAATTTATAATGAATTTAAGAAAGAAGTTGATCTAACAGAATTTTTAAAATAATCAGACAAAGGAAATCTGATTATAGTATAGTTCTAAAACGAAATGGTATTTTCTTTGATTCTACCTATTAAATTCTTCACTAAAAAACCTATATTGGAAAAATCAATAGAAATTGTTCTATTAAGAATTCTGCATGATTTTGCTGATAATATATAATTATGTTTAGATGAAACTGTGTTTGCAGATTGGTATTCTGGAGATATTGTACCTTTTAGTGCTTAATTATTAGAGCGATATGATTATGATTTTGCTGAAGTAAGTAATCAAGAGATATAGATGTATCAATGCTAGTATTATTAGCGTGATTATGATATTTCAAAATGTTAAATTATTAAATCTCAATCTTTGTTACCATAAGTTTATATCGTAGATAGCTTAGAAATGAATAAAATAGAACAGTTATTAAACACTTATAATGAATTCACTGAGGCCTTGATGATCTAAATTATTACCAAACAAAATCCTAGCATAATTCCTTTAATTAATTCTTTTAAAAAGGAGCATTAAAATGATAAATTAAAAGGGTTACTAAATGACTTTTCGAAGAAATTATATAATGAAATAATGTAATAAAGGTAAATATTAACTTAAAAAATTTTTAAAAATCTTTAATAGTGGTATAATTGCGTTTATTAACAGGATAAAAAATATTAGCAGGAATCAGAATAAATTGTGAACACAATTTTATAAACTGTTAAATTGAATTAATAGAAACATCCACTTTTTTAATTTAATTTAACTTAAGATCACAAAAAACATAATGAGATTATTCAATTTCATTTAGATATTATTTATAAAAAATCTAAAGAAATATAGTCATAGTTTTAAAATTAAATCAAATAATTGTTTTCAGAATTATGTTAGTTAACAAAATATTCGGTGAAGAAAATAAATTTAAAAATCTATAGAAAGAATGAAAATATAACTGAAAGAATATTAAATATTTGGCCTTATTTCGATGAAGATTAAAATTTTTGCTTAGATGGTAGTTTTTTAAAAAATCAGACATTAAACTTTGAAATTAAAGAGATCTTTTCAACAAAAAAAAAGGCTACTATTTTTATAGTTTACACATAAACTACAGCTTATATTTTATTTTTGTAGTTTTAAGCATCTTAAGTAAAAGTGATAAGATAATAAGAACTTTATGAAATAAAACAATCAGTTTATTATTATGATTATAATCAAGGATAATTATATGTATTTAATCATAGAGATAAATATGTATAATCAATTATGATTTCTCCATTAGGAATTATTTAAAATGATCAATTTTTTTGTTATTAATAGGATAATTAGAATAATTAATTCTTAGTAGATTAAGTAGCATACATTAATGTTTGTAAAAAGTTTATAGTATTGTCCAAAAACAATACAATTTATGCATAATCTGAAAAAGAGTAATAATTTCGAATACTTAAATGTTTATAAGAAACTAAAAAGGGAATAAAAGAAACAGAATTTACTCCAAGTATTGAAGCAAATGAAAAATATAAATAATTATTAACTTGCCCAAGTGGAAAATACTTTTATCTTGCTAATTATTATTGTTGTGACAGATATGATTAAACAGGCAAAAGATTATAATCAATTCCTATTAGTGGTCAAATAAAAATATTCTCTGATTCCTCTATGTGATCATTTTTGATTAATTTAATGAATCATCATTTTAAAAATAGAAAAAGATTCATGTAATAAGTAATTTAATTTAATAAAAAATATTTCATAAATAATAAAGTGATAAAAAATAACTTATAGGTAATCCTGCATTAGATATTGTAAAAGGTTCATTCACTAAATTTGGACCAAATGCTTAGTTTTTATATAAACAAAAATAAAAAAATATTCATTTATATATTGAACCTAAAGGATATAATCAAATAGAATAATACTTCAATAATTTGAATTTGAATATGGTTAATTTGAATAACCAAGAGATTAAATTCTCTGAATGTGATAGCAATTAAATAATTAATATAATTTTTTCAAGAGTTCCTTTGTAATTGTGCACTATTGAAAATGGAATTTTGATACCTTTAAATGATGGTTTTAGATAACTATCATTAGTCTAAAGAAATATAACAGTAGATTCAAAGGTAAAATAGTTACATCTAGGATTTTTAGAAGACTATCTGTAAGCAGAAGAAAAGAATATTTTTGTTGTAGGTATTATTGGAAAACAATCATCAGGCAAAAGTTACTTATTAAATAGAGTATTCGGAACAAGATTTTCTGTTTCATCAGCTAGATGTACTGATGGAGTGTGGGGAAGTATAGCCTATGTGGATAATCAGAAGTTTTTAATACTTGATTGTGAAGGATTATTTAATGGAGCTAGGACTGAAAAAGATGAGATTAAAATGCTTGCATTTGTTACTGCAATAAGTGATATAACTATTTTAAATTCTGACTCAACTTTTAGTCGTTATTAGAATGAACTCTTTAATAATCTAGTTGAAGCATCTAAGTAATTAAATGATGAAAAGTTGTTTATGGGTTTGTTATACATTATCATAAGAGATGTTAGTATTACTGATAATAAAGGAGTAGATTAAGAATTATTAAAAAATTTGGACAGATTAAAATCAGCTGATTCTTAGGATATTATTTTTTTGGATAAATTATTTAATAACAAACTCTCTGTTGAAAAATTAGTAAATAATGAAAACTCTTATTTTGATGAACAATTAAAAAAGGTTAGAAGCTATTTCTTAAATAATTCCATGAAAACTATTCGTTGGAAAAATGGTAAAGAATTAATATAAATGGTAAAAATTGTTCTTTGTCAGCTAGAATTATCTGATACTACAAATGCAAGCCTAATAGATTTTCAAATTAGATTAGAATAAATTTATTTTGAAAGCAAAGCTCAGTGGTATAAATTTTCTTTAAATTAACCAAATTGCGAAGATATACAGTTAATTTAAGGAAATTATTAATTTGAAATCGACGATGATGATTACATTATGGAGAATAAAGTAATTTTGAAATAATTATATGATGATCTTAAGCTAAATGATACTATTAATAGTCATAAATTAAATTTATAGGAAGCTAATAATTAACTTAATAAATTGATGGAATAAAGGAAGGAACTAATTATTTAGAAGACTTAATCTGAAATATCTGATATTAATGGTTTAGAAGTTTAAACATAAATACAAAAAGAAAATTCTAAACTTTTAGATTTTTTCTAAATTTAAATTAATAGATATTAATTTTGTTAAAGTAAATGCAATGAGTGTTATTTGACATGCAAATAATTCAAGAATCACATTGATTATTCTAGCAAATTGAAAGGAAAACTTGAAAATGAAATCTCTATTTTAGAAGAGTTAAGAAATATGTCATCAATAAAGGATAATAAAGAAGAATAAGTGGTTAGAAATAGTCTAATTTGTATTGCACAAAATATTGAAGAGATAGATAATACCTTAAAAGAATTAACAAATTTAATTAAGTGGTCACAGATTTAAGATTAATTATAATAATTAATGAATGAAGTTCGAAAATCTCATTTTTTTAATGTTGAAAATCTTTAAAATTCTGAAATCAACTAAGAATTGGAAAAGTAAAATATACAAATTACATTCGATATAAATTATATCAATTATTTACAAGAAGATATTAATAAAAAGTAGCAAAACTAAGTTTAAAAATAGAATAATAATATCAATGAAATTAAGAAAATTAAAGAAGAATATTTAAAACTTTAATAATCATGTCAAGAGATTGAGAAGAAAATAAAGGAATAAAAAATAATAAAAAAAGAAAAAAAAAAGGAAATAGAAAAACTAAATTTAGAAAATTAAAAAATAATAAGTGATAAAGAGGAAATTAAAAATTAAATTCATGAACTTAAGATCATTTATGATGAAAAGGTAAGAAATGAACATCAATCATAAATAAATGAGTGGAACAAAAAAAATAATGAATTTAAAAATGAAATCACTCTTTGTTAATCAAGATATGTTGAAATTTAAAGAGAAATGGCTGATTTTGATAAAATGTCTTAATCAGAATTTATTTAAAAGTTTTAATCTTTGTAATAAAAAAAGAAGGAGCTTGATGATTAACTTAATTAAACAAAATAAAAAAAAAAAGATTTAAACGAAAAGTAAGTCCAAATTAATTTTATTAATTAAGAATTATAAGAAAAAATTTAAGAATAATAAGAATTATAAAAGAAATCTAAAGCTAAATTAAGCAATAAAAATAAAATTGAGATTGAAATTGAGAATCTTAAAAAACAATTATTAGAACTTGATTCCCATGATATCGAGAATTTAATCAAATAATGCAATTAATAAGAATTTGAATTAAAGAATAGTATTGCTGCTGATTATTTTTCTAATGTGGATCTATATGTTTAGAGTTTTGAAATAGTAATGAAAGATGAAACTTTTCAAAGTAATTAGTTAGATAATTAAAAGCAAACAATTAATTAATAAGGAATATAAGAGGAGAATCTAAATGATGTTAATTTATAAATTGAATAAATTTTTTAAGAAGAAATTTAAGAAGAGATATAGCATGATTAGGAAGATTAGATTAATGAAGTCTAATCTATGAATATAAAAAAATATTTTTTGAATTTAAAAAGCTAAGAATGTGAAGATTATTAAAAAGAAATAATAAAATTATAGGAAGAGATTCAAAATGCTGATTAGGAAATCTAAAAATCACAAAAAATAGTTGATGAGTAATAGAAATATCTTTAGTTGGTGAATGCAAAAAAAGAAAAAAAAGAATTACTTAATAATTATTAGAATTAATTAAAGGATTTAAATAACTAATTAAAATTGTTTTCATAAGAATCTAATAATTTCAAAGACAAATTACATTAGACCTAAAAAGAATAAAATAATTTGAAAGTAAAAGAACAAGAAATTATTAAAGAAAACTAATAAATACATGAATCAATTCATTAAATGAATAAAAATTTGAAAGAACTATAAATTTTGTAATAGGATTTAATGTAATGTAATATTTTAGAATAATAAAAGTAGGAACATGAATAATTACTTAAAGATTGGGATGGGAAAGAAGATTATAAAAATCATTCACTTGAAGATTTATAATAGGAAAAGTAAAATATGGAATAACAAAGAGTAAACCTCTTAATTTAATAAAAAGAAAATATAAATAGTCTTGAAATTTACAATAAAGTAGAAACAGATGCTGGAAGATTCATTAGTTTAAAATAAAAATTGATTGAATTAGTTAAATTAAATCTTAATGTACATTCTTGTTTGAGAGAAGATCACAAATGTGATTAGATGTGTAAAGTATGTCCGGATAAAATTTGCGATAATAAAGCTGGTCATGATGAGAAATAAGAGCATTTATGTTCCTCTAATAATCATAAATGCAATATTTAATGTGAAATAACTTTATGTGAACAAAAATGCAATTTAGAATTAAACCATTCTAGATAACATAATTGTACTAATGATCATCCATGTGCAGAATAATGTTAGTATTGTAGTAAAAAATGCCATAAAGATAGGTCAATTCCACATTCCAATCATGAATGTGAAGAATTATATTGTACGGCAAATTGCATATTATGTGAAAGAAGATGTAAAGAAAAACATAAACATTCATAGTTTTGTAATACATAATGTGAAAAGGAGCATTAACATTCAGTAGAATAATAAAATCATTTATGTGGAGATTAGCATGAGTGTAAGGAAATGTGTTAAGAGAAAGGTGTATGTCAAATAAGATATACTCAAGTTGAAATAATGTGGTAATCTAAATTCTCATTTGTTAAATATACACCTTAAGGTGATGAAAAAAAGAAATGCTGTAGAGATATCAAGTCAGACAAACTTAAACATGAATAAATACATAGTTGCATGATAGAAACAGAAAAATAATTTCATTTTTGTGATTAAAAATGTCCTGAGTGTAATAAAATTTGTGATTTGAAATATGGGCATCCTGGATGTCATTCCTCATAAGTTCATATAAATAAGGAAAATTAGATATTTACATTAAAAGAAGGATAAGAAGAGAACATAGTTATTTAAGACTAAAATAATAGTACTTTGAGACAATATTAAGTTGGAGATAAATCTACTCCAGAAACATGTGATTAGAGTTGTAAAAGAAGAGGAAAAAGTCATTATCATTTAATTGAATGTAAAGACCAAAGTTAATGTTTAGAAAAATAAGTAAATATTAAAGCAAAACACTCAAAGGAAAAATATGCAGGATTTTAACATCTGAATTTTGATGAAGTATTATGTCTAGACTTTTGGAAACTTAAAGGTTGGGCTCATCCAATTCCAAATGAAATGGATAATATAGGTCAATGTAATTATTACTGTCCATTATGTATAAAAATAAATGGAGAATATCAATTTTGTTCTCAAGATGCTTGGCATACATAAGATAACAAGATAAGTTCTCATTAATTTCCATGTACATTGACTCACAAAGAAAAATGTATACAAGGGATTAAAATAGCTTTTGTAATAGACACAACAGAATCAATGTCTACTTACATAAATAGCTGCAAAAATATCATCTAAAGTATTATTAAAAAAACTAAAGAACATAAAACTATAGATAATATTGATGTTGATATGAAATTTGCGATTGTTTCATATAAAGATCATAAGGTTCCTTATGATTAGAATGAGAAAGCTGTTGATGTTTGTGAATTTACTTCAGATAACTAAGCAATATCTTTTTTGGATAAATTGTCAGCTACTGGAGGAGATGATACACCTGAGGCTGTTTTAGATGGCCTATATGCTTCTTCGTAATTAAATTGGAGTGGCAATTATTAAAATTTGTTATATTTAATTGGTGATGCCCCTCCACATGGAAAAAAATATCATAATTTTAAAGATTCCTATCCAGATGGATGCCCTTGTAAAATACAATAAAGTCAAATTTTTACGCATATCAAAAATGCAAAGATTTAATTTAAAATTATGAAATTAAATCAAAATATTGAAGGAATGATTACACTATTTAAATAAGATTACCCTGAATTAATAGTAATTACTCCATAAGACAAAGATGATATTACATTTTAGAATTTAATAATTGGAGATTTATGCGAATATTTAAGTCATAATGAAATAACATATTAAATGGCATGATTTGATTTTAAAATTAAAAAAAAATATTATTCATTTTATTTCAAATTACTTATTTATCCTCAATTTAATCAACTAACTTATTTTTATAACTCATATGTATTCTGAGTTATAAAAATTTTAAGAGATATTTTTTATTATCAACCAAATATATTTAATGGTTTTTTTTTCATTTTGAATATACATTCTAAGTCCTAATGAAGAACATCAAATTAGATATATTTAATTTGCATTCAATTCATTCAAAACACTTCTTTTCAAAAAAGGACATTTACAAAATTGCAACAATTGATTAAATTGGATTCTAAGGACTCCTTATATATAAAGTAAAATATTTATGAATATTGTTATAGATGTCTATTTTAATTAGAACACCTGGATAGTAAGACTTTTTTCAGACTTTTCCAAAGTTTTCAAATGGATTTATTTGCCTCCAAAACTTTAAAGAGTAATTCATCTCCCTTACTTCCCTTAAAACTATCTAATATTTTTTTATATATCGAGTTATTTTTAACCCTTTGCCTCTTGATTTTTTCTAATAGTCCCCATTATAGATTTAAGTCCTTTCTTTTATATTTAGGAGGCTCTTTTAATTCTCTAAGTTGCAAATAATTAGAGGCTCCATTAATTTTTCTCTTTTTTCTGCTCCTCTAGGTTAGTAGCTCTAATGTAACTGGTAATCAAAGAGTCAGAAAAACTCATAACTCCCAAAGAGCCAAACCTATTTATTGTCTACTCTTTAATATTTATAATCGAACATTCTCAAAGAGCTCCAGAAAATTTTAACATATATAAACACATTCTGATAGGAAAAATAAAGAACTATAGTAAAAATAGATTTTTTCTTTTCGAGAAAAAAGAAAGGTGCTTGTTAAATTGCACAATAAATTTCTAAACTAATTGTAAAAATAAGAAAATTTATGAATAATTATGAGCATAATCAAAAAAATTAATAATTTTTATTTTTTAATATAGATCAGGAGCAATTAATAATTTAAAAAATTTAATGCTAGAATTAAAGAATCTAAATTAAAATTAACTAATCAATTTCAACTTAAAAATTATTTTTATTTTGTTTGTCATACTCTCATAAATTGAGTATAAAATTTTTAGAGATTAATTAATTGTTTTAGAAATGCCTTACTATAAATTTAATTGTTGTTCTTATTAGATCAAATATTTTTGTTTCACTCCACTTACTTATGATTTATAAATTGTCTATTTATTTCCCTCTAAACATTGATTTTTTCTACTTAAGATTTTTTATTTCCCTCAACTAATAAGATACTAATTTCATTTGCCGACACACTTTTACTATCAATAGTTTCTATAAAATACAATTCAACAATTTATAGATTGGTATCCATAATAAAATAATTCTTCTCTGTATTTCTATTTCTTGAGAGATGGTATTTCCCCTCAAATTTATTTCTTATATATTTAGTTGATTGGATATTGAATTATCAATCCCCAATATAAATAAAGTTGATTGAATACATCAAAATCATTTATTTTATTCTTGGACTTGTTATAAAATATAAAAAATAAGTCATTCTCATTTTAATTCATAATATAAAACCAAAATTATTATATTTTAACATTGTGCTTAAATGATTAGAGTCCTTTTCATCATGTTAATTTTTGATAATTCTGAATAATATTTCATATTCAAATATTTTAATGGAATATTTAGAAATAGTTGAAACTATCATGCCTTATTTGATAAACAAAATTATGACAGGAGTTGAGGATAAGATTTTTGAAAGTTTAGAATCTTAATCAAGTGCTTCTTTTGCAGCTAATTTGGCTTACAATATGATGCATTAGAAATGTTTTGATCCTTATTTTCAAAATTATAATGAGTAAGAGGATTTCGAAGCTTAGAGCACTTAGAAGGAAAGATTTAGAGCCTATGATATAAAAGACATAGCTCCACTTTCTGTTAGGATGACACCAAAAGTAGAATTACCTCCAAAGCATAAATTTATGTTACCAACTTAATTATGGGAAGACTATGAACCTTAATTGGTTAGATAAAAAACAATAGAATATGTTGAAGAATATCCAAATGAAAGAAGAATAATGGAATAAAAATGTATTGAAAAATCAAATAAAGAATAAATGATAAGAGAACGATCTAAAGAAAAACGATTGATGAAAGAGTAATATAATAGATTGATAATGCAAATAGGATCAAAAGAATACACTTATGATTATAATTGTGATCCTATTGCAAGATCTAATAATTAAATCAAAAAGGATGTAATAACTACATTGCCATTTGAAGTACCATAAACTGATAATAATGCTGTTATTTCAAAACCTAAACTTGTAGAACAAATAAGGTAGAAACGAAGATAAGCAGAAAATGAAGAAACTATAGTTGAATTTATAGAGTCATAAACTTAAGATTTTAAATTGTAACCAGGAGTTCGATTGAGTTATTAGATTATGAATTAAAAAGAAACTATTTAAAAATAATTATCATAGTAATCCAAATAGACAGATTAGATATTAAATTAAAATAAATAATTTAAGGGTTTCAGAAACATAATAAAATTAAACGACATTTAATTGTTAGGTTATTTATAATAATATGATTTGGAAAATAATTATGACACACTTATGTAAAACACAAATAAGACATAATTAGTAACTCCAACAAACTAAAGTCTATTAGATTAATCTACTATTAAGAGAGATGTGTTAAGACTACCAAAATTGAGATCACATTCAATAAATGCTAGAACAAAGACAAAAAGTAAATAATAATAAACATACTCGATTGTTACTTATAGAGATTGATTAATATATAAATTAATTACACTCACAATAGATAACCACTCATTTTATATTACCTCATGTATCCTTTTTCTAATTACATTATTCCTAATAGTTAATTGACTTCTTTCAAAATATCATTTTCATCAGAAACCCAAGCCATTTATCCTTTATATACCAAAAAGTATCCTTTCATATACTTATTGAATTCTCCCTTTATTGTTTAAAGGTCGATCAACTGATAAGATTTCTCATACTCCAATTATACAAATTTAGTAGGACAATCAACTCTAATTTAGATTTTTTTCAAAGATTTTTGTTACAAGATTTTTCATTCTATGATATTCACAATGAACAAAAGCAATAATGTATTATTAAAGATGATCCAACTATATCATTCCTCTAATATCACTATGAGTACTAAAAGACATGATTTTGATTGCATTATGATATACTAGAAGTAATTTTGTTGTTTCCAAAATCAATAATAATATAATACCTATTAAATTACTATTATATCATAATTATAAATACTAATTTTTTTATCCTAAAGTTTCAGGTACATGATATCTAGGAATTATTAAACTATCATTTAAACACCAAACTAATCTTTAAACATTTACGTACTATTAAATTTTTTTCCGATTCCAATTTGAATATTTTATAATATTAATTGGCTTTATTAATAATTCCAGCAGCATACTAAAGACTTGCTTTTCACTTGGTTCTCTACCAATAAGATTCCTAAGAAACAGATAATTCTTAGGCTCTTCCTAATGCGAATACAGGATTAAGGCTTTTTCTCCTCCATCAACACTTCTTAGGCATGCATTAAAAATTTCGTTTTCTAATTCTTTCGCTTTGTGTGATATTTATAAAGTATTCGCTTTTCTGAAATAACTAGATCTGGTTGTAATTGATCAATATAGGCTCCACCAAAATGTTTATCAGCAATAGAATTGTAATCTCCTGTGTAGACTACTGAAACATTTTTATATTTCACATGAAATATACAACCCTTAATAGATGGCCAGCATAATAAGCAGTCACATCAAAATTTTTGGTTTCATAAAGCCTGATACCTTAAACTTTATCTAAGTATTTTTTGATATTTTCATTATCATAAATTAATAATATGAATTGATAATAAAATCTTATTTAGATTTTAGTTTGAATTCTTAATTTCTTTTGGAATTATCCATATCTATTGAGCTAATGATAATAGATTACTCTTCTATAATCTTCTAAAATGTATGATAACAATGCTTTGGCTGGACATTACTACAGGTCCATTATTACCTTTACCTAAATAATCATAATTAATAACCATATAATCCTGCGAAGAATAGAAAAATGTATCACAATGATCAAGATGATAATATGTGATTAAAACCGATTCAACAATTTTAAGTCCCAATTTTTTCTCAGTTAACTAATTTGATAAAATTTCTTCAAACTGAAAAATTAGGAAATCTGCTATTGTCCTAATATGTCATGTGTAAACTACAATTCAACATTATTGTTTATCATATTTTGTTAACATTATACAATTACGACCAACTTCTTAACCAGCCCTTAAGGGATTTACATTAAACATAAATATTTATTTAATAACAGCTTATTCATAATGGAGTATTAATCTAACATAATTATTTCATAGTTAGGCAGGATATAATCATACTCAAATACAATCACTCCTTCATTAATCATCCAATTTAATGAGGCCACCTAGAATAGGGCAATAAGGATCATCTATAGGGCAATCTGAAATGTTTTAATACAAGTACTATCACTTCTTTATTATATAGTCCTTAGTAAAAATAAACCTTAATTTAATAATACTCATCTCAGAACATTGGAATAGCGTATAAAATATATAAATTATGGTAGTCCCTTTTCTGCTAGATAAATTGCTACCACTCCTATTGTATCATAAAACATTACATAATCACAACCGCTTCTAATCACTCCCTCTGTTAGGATTGCATCTACATAACTAAATAATGCTGAAGTGCATCATTAGGAAAGACCTTTATAAGTTGTTACTTTAGATGATATGGATTCCAGGTGGAAAACTAAATGCAGTATTCTAATTATGTAATTTAAGTGTAATTGGAAGTATATCTGTTCGATCTTTAACAAGAAAATCTCAGATTAAAAGGAAATGCACCTTAAATTTCATATGTTTAAGATGATTCCAAAGTAATTATTATAATTTAACATTCTAGATTAATGAACTTATTAATGCTAACAAAGAATTAAAAATATAAGAACAAGGTCTCAGATAATCAAATAAATAACTATAAGATGAATTAGACTAATGGAAATTAAGATACAAATAACTGTAGGAATCTAATTCTAAAAATTAAGGAGCAGATGATGAGATTAGACAACTTAAAAAGAAAATTAGTAATTATTTATAATTATTTTTAAGGCAATTTAACAGATGATCTCAAAAATTCCCAAGAACAAAATGAATTTAAAGATTAAGAAATTCGTAAACTTAAATTACTCATGAATGATAAAGATAATGAACTTGAATCCTTAGACTAAAGAATAAGAGAACTGGAAATTTAATTGGAGAGTTTTTCATAATCAGAATAGTAAATTATTTCTCTGTAAGGAGAAGTAGAATTATGGAAAAAGAAATTTAAATAGCAAAATGAAATCAACTCTGATATTTCAGAAAAACTTACAATGGCTGAAACATAATTAGAAGCCTTGAAAAAGAGTAAAGTTACAGTAACCAAAGAAAGTGAAATCAAAAGAACTGGACCATCTGGTACTGGAATAACAACTTAATTTGAAACAAGTAGCATTAAAGGAGCTACTATAGCTCCTGGAGGATATAGTACATATGGAACTAACAACAGTGGAAGAAATTCAGTTGTTAGAAATTCAGGTTATATTGACAGAAAATAATTATGATGATGNAGCTTATTCATAATGGAGTATTAATCTAACATAATTATTTCATAGTTAGGCAGGATATAATCATACTCAAATACAATCACTCCTTCATTAATCATCCAATTTAATGAGGCCACCTAGAATAGGGCAATAAGGATCATCTATAGGGCAATCTGAAATGTTTTAATACAAGTACTATCACTTCTTTATTATATAGTCCTTAGTAAAAATAAACCTTAATTTAATAATACTCATCTCAGAACATTGGAATAGCGTATAAAATATATAAATTATGGTAGTCCCTTTTCTGCTAGATAAATTGCTACCACTCCTATTGTATCATAAAACATTACATAATCACAACCGCTTCTAATCACTCCCTCTGTTAGGATTGCATCTACATAACTAAATAATGCTGAAGTGCATCATTAGGAAAGACCTTTATAAGTTGTTACTTTAGATGATATGGATTCCAGGTGGAAAACTAAATGCAGTATTCTAATTATGTAATTTAAGTGTAATTGGAAGTATATCTGTTCGATCTTTAACAAGAAAATCTCAGATTAAAAGGAAATGCACCTTAAATTTCATATGTTTAAGATGATTCCAAAGTAATTATTATAATTTAACATTCTAGATTAATGAACTTATTAATGCTAACAAAGAATTAAAAATATAAGAACAAGGTCTCAGATAATCAAATAAATAACTATAAGATGAATTAGACTAATGGAAATTAAGATACAAATAACTGTAGGAATCTAATTCTAAAAATTAAGGAGCAGATGATGAGATTAGACAACTTAAAAAGAAAATTAGTAATTATTTATAATTATTTTTAAGGCAATTTAACAGATGATCTCAAAAATTCCCAAGAACAAAATGAATTTAAAGATTAAGAAATTCGTAAACTTAAATTACTCATGAATGATAAAGATAATGAACTTGAATCCTTAGACTAAAGAATAAGAGAACTGGAAATTTAATTGGAGAGTTTTTCATAATCAGAATAGTAAATTATTTCTCTGTAAGGAGAAGTAGAATTATGGAAAAAGAAATTTAAATAGCAAAATGAAATCAACTCTGATATTTCAGAAAAACTTACAATGGCTGAAACATAATTAGAAGCCTTGAAAAAGAGTAAAGTTACAGTAACCAAAGAAAGTGAAATCAAAAGAACTGGACCATCTGGTACTGGAATAACAACTTAATTTGAAACAAGTAGCATTAAAGGAGCTACTATAGCTCCTGGAGGATATAGTACATATGGAACTAACAACAGTGGAAGAAATTCAGTTGTTAGAAATTCAGGTTATATTGACAGAAAATAATTATGATGATGTATATTTGAGATTTATCTTATGCAATTTTATATTGTATTAATCATATTATGAAAATTTAAATAATTTAATTAAAATCTTTTAATCATGGGAGTTGGTAAACCCAGAGGTATGAGAGCAGGAAGAAAGCTCAAAGATCACAGAAGAGTTAACAGATGGGCTGATAAAGAATATAATAAGGCTATGATTGGATCAAGATATAAGAATCCATTTATGGGTGCATCACATGCTAAAGGATTAGTTGTTGAAAAAATCGGAGTGTATAACTAATTTTATAAACTCCATTTAGTGAATCCAAATAACCAAACTCTGCTGTCAGAAAGTGTGTTAGAGTGTTATTGAAAAAGAATGGTAAAAAAATTTCAGCATTCGTTCCCAAGGATGGTTGCTTAAACTTTTTAAATGAAAATGATGAAGTCACAGTAGCTGGATTCGGAAGAAAGGGACATGCAGTCGGTGATATTCCAGGGGTCAGATTTAAGATTATTGCAGTTAAAGGAAAGTCACTTTTGGCTTTATGGCTTGGAAAAGTAGAAAAATGAGCAAAAATATTAGCTATTTTATCAGTATATTAACAATAGATAAATATTTGCATTTATTTTAATAGATTATTTCATTCTAATGCTTCTAATAAAAAAAGAACATATATTAAAATAAATATCCGAAAAATAAATTAATTATGTAGGAGGAATCATGCTCTCTTATCAAAGTTGAAGCTCTAATTCACATTAGTTTTACCACTAACACTTGATTTTTTTGTCTTTGATCCTCCACTGCTATAATCTCTCGATCCTTTTCTACTGTTCATCTTTAGCCATAATTGATATGGCATTGATTATGGTTTAGTACTTGCAGGCATAGAGAGATCCTAAGTTTAATTAAATACAAATAATTACCCCTTCTATATGCAAAGATCTTTTCTTATTATCAATGTTTGTAGTGTCTGTTAAATTTATTGGCTTATTTTCTTTCTTTTTTTCCAATAAAGAATTATTGTTATTATCGAAAATTGTATAAGAAACCTTTTAATTCTTAGTAGTTTTGCTATTGTATGGCATTTTTGATTAAGAATTTCCTCTTACTGCAGTTGGAGTAGTATTCTTTGTAGATGATTCTAAATTATTATTATTATTATATTTTTTACTTAAATATTAAAGCAATTTATTTTGATGTCCAGGAGATACAGTCGAAGCATTAGAAGACCTCTTACTTGTATTTATATAAGTTGTTTTATTCAAAACATCATTGATTTGTATATCAGTAGGAATTTTCTTATGATTGTTCTATTGAAAAGATTAAGATTTATTTCTTTCAAATAAAAAAGACTGATCCTATTTGAAATTAGATTAAAAAGATTACTTCAATTGATAATGAGGAATTCTAATAATTTTTAGATCCATTATAAATAGATCTAATATCTTCAACCTAAGGAACAGACATTCCTCTTCCTTATGTATGGGATTTTTAATTAGTTTAGCAAGATCCAGATCTATTGTGTTTGAGTGTTTTCATTAATTAACTATCTAATAAATTACTTATAGGAGCTAATAAATTAGAAAAGAGACATACGTTTTGAAGGTCTAGTAGCTGGTTCTAAAAGTTTTTCATTGAAATTTTATGAATTAATATCTGCTGTTGATTGTCCTCCTTTAATTAAATGTTTTTTTAGAAGGAGAAAATAAGCTGTAGTTAGATTATTGTGTTTATTAGCATCTAGACATTTCTTAATATAATCAGCACTATATCCTTTTTGAGCAAGTTATTCCACAATGTCTTCATCAATTGGAATTCGACTATATCCAATAATTATTCCTTAAGGTATTGAATGAACTCTCTTATACAACTTAAACCATGGATGAGATTTAATTTAGTCAATATCAAATCTCTTTTTAGGATCAGTATTCAATAATCCTTTAATAAAGGATTAACCATCTTATGACACATGTGATGGTATTGTATACTATCCATTAAGTATCTTCTTATATAATTCACTTGTATGTTTATCTTCGAATGGTAATTGACCACAAATAGTGGCAAACAAAATAACACCACATGACCAAATATCAACTAAGATACTTTAATATCTATGACCAGCAATCATTTCAGGTGCAGCATAACAAGGACTTCCACATGCTGTTTTAAGTAATTCACCTTCTTTATATGTATTGGAAAGTCCAAAATCAACAATTTTAATTTAGTTTGAATGATCCAATAAAAGATTTTCTGGTTTTAAATCTCTATGTACGATATTTAGTTTATGAATATATTCAATACCAGAGATCAGTTCTTAGAATATCCGACATGCTTCAACTTCTTCAAGTCTAATTAATTAAATTCTAGAGTATTACTTTTCATTTTTAACAATGTAGTCAAAAAGTTCACCATTATCACAAAATTCCATTACTAAAAATATATGCTTCTTAGTTTCTATGATCTATCATATGTTAGGTTTATATTTACTTCATATAGTTAGATAACATGTCTATGGCGAATCAATTTTAAAATATGTATCTCCCTTGACACTCTTTCTACATCTGCAACTTCCACAATACGCTCCTTCTCTAATATTTTAATGGCCACTTTCTCTCCTGTAATTTAATGAACTCCCAGTTTCACTAAACCAAAAGTACCTACTCCAAGAGTTTTAACTCTAATAGTAAAAACTTCAAACCTAATAAGTAATCTCCGATCACCCTTTGTTTTTATGAATCTTTGTTATTATATGAAGTGTTTTCCTTATCAGAGTCCTTCTTTTACAGCATAATTTCAATATCGTTAAAATATTAATATTCAGAAGTAATAAATGTTCCAATTTATCAAAGACTCATTTGAATAAGTGGCATCTAAAGTTAAATAGAGTGGAATCCCTTCCAATTCTGTTAAAGTCAATTTAAGTCAATTTGAAGATCAGTAATCGTCCTTTCAAACTGCTATATATCAGAAGTATTTGAGATAAAAGCTAATCAATAAATTGAATTAAGTAAGACTTTAAATATTATGAATAATTTAGTTTGTTGGTAAAAAAGTGCTTGTAATTGATCCATTTATTGCAGATATGCTTAATTTGGTTGTTGAATCTAATTAGATTTTGAGAGAAAATGGTGTTGATTAAATCTGTTATAATGATTCTGATTAATTAGAAGTAGAAGCTAATTAGATTATATTTTTTGTAAGTCCTGATAGACAATATATGAAAAGAATAGTAAGAATCATTAGGAATAATTAACTTGCAAATTTTAATAAAAAATACTTATTAATATTCTGTCCTAGAATGAATATTGTATGCAAAGATTATTTAGAAAAAGAAGCTGTTTTGGGTGATTTAATCATAACAAATTTTAATTTTGATTTAATACCATTAGCTAATGATTTACTCTCCTTAGAAATGAATAATTGTCTTAAACAATTATATATTGGATAAGATATGTCAATTTTATAAACTGTAGCAGAGTCTATATAAAGAATGGAATTAGTACATGGTAAATTTAAGAATATTTATGCTAAGGGAAATTACTCTAAAGTTGTCATTGATATACTCAAATAAAAAAAACAATAAGGTGAATTAATTGAAGATGAAATTAGTTTTAAGGAATCTAAAATGCATACACTTTTGATAATTGATAGAAAGGTAGATTTTATTACTCCTATGCTTACTCCATTTACATATGAGGCTTTGATTGATGAAGTGTTTTCTATTAAACACAATTCAATTAATCTAAATATTATTAAAAATGAATCAGCTTTAAAAGATAGACCTAAAACTATGAAACTCAATGATTCTTATTACAATAGAATCAAAATTATGAATATAAAGCATTGTTAGAGGATACTTGAAGAAAAGAGATAAAATAACAAATAGATGATTTAATCCATGAAATAGTAAGATAATAAAATGAATATGAGTGAAATGAATTAATATCTTGCCAAATTAAGATAGTTACCAAAAGAACAAAACATAATTCTTGACCGTAATAATTTACACTATTACAGATCTTATTATTAGTTAACATTTAAGTAAATAGTTAGAATCCATTTTATTTAATATGTGCGTTAATTAAGAAGTTCATGCTATACTTTAAACTAAGTCATCATAAGTTGAATAAATGATAGAAAATCTTATTTCTTTTGGTGCCCCAATCACTAAAGTTATTCGATTGTTTAGTCTATACAATTAAATCTAAAATGGAATGAAGACCAAACTCTATGATTTTTATCGTAGAGAAATTTTGCATATGTATGGTATAGAGCACATTTTAACACTTGAAAATTGTGAAAAACTAGGTTTAATTGGAAAAAAATTAAATGATACTCATATCTGGGAAAAAATTGAAAAACCTTTGCGTCTGATTAATGAAGATGTTGATCATGATGCTCCAGAGGATATATCATATGTTTTTTTAGCATATGCACCAATAATGTATTTTTTACTTATTAATGAGAGTTCGAATTTTTGAAGAATTAATTATTAAAAACACTTGGGGGCCAGTGGTTTTACAAGCATTAAAAGAATTACCTGGTGAACTAGTTATGCAATAAAATTTAAATTAACTTAAAGGAGAAGAAATAAAAGAAGAACAAAATTAAATTTATGTTATTTACATTGTAGGAGGTATAACATATGGTGAAATAGCAGCAATTCGTTGGTTAGGATTGCGTTATAGTAATTAAATTATTTATATATTACTTAGAAAAAGATATACAAATTTGCACAACACATATAATCAATGGAGATAGATTAGTTTAAGAGATGATATAAAATTAATGAGTTAATTAATTATAAAATTTTTAATATTGCAATGATAATATTCCTTAAATTGTTAGACTTATCTAAAGTTTAAATAAAAAATTTTTAATAACTCATAAATTGTTCATTTTATAAAAAGATTATTGTTTTATCATGATATAAATATGATTTCTGAGTTTTATTTAAAGTTATAAAGAAAGTTTAAATAAAAAATATTTACTATATTGTTCATTTATGGTAAGAAATTTGAACAACTATATAATTTTAATATATATTTTATTTATTTTTGATAATTTTAAGTAAGAACATATATATTTTTAATTATAAATAATAAAAATAAACTTACTCTTATATATGCTTTAAATTAATTATAAATTTTTTTTATTATTTGTTTTGAATGAAAATTTTCTTAAAACGGACAACTTTTCTGCTCGCTTATACACTGATTATGTCAGTATGTGCTTAAAAAGAACTCTTTAATGAAAACCAAATTATCAATTCAAAACTCTATTGTGAAATTTTGAATGCCATAGATGAATATTTATAAATAATAAAATTAGAAAATGGCATGTTTGGAATTGAAACATCTAATTCTAATTATTAGGTTTCAATCAATTCAACAAATTAAATTTAGGATTATAAAGACGTTTTAATATTTTAGAATGAAAAAGAAATTGATGTAAAATGAAAATTATACTTTAGATAAATGTGTATTTTAATTTTGCTGATTATTAGATAAAGAGCAATTACATAGGTGGTCTATTATATAAACAAGTTAAATTTATTATTGATAAAGAGAATCAAATATATTTTAATATAATTACATTTTCACAGACCTAATTCAAAGAATTCACTATAAAGGATTATGGAAAAATTAGTTTAAAATAAAAATCAGATGATCCTAAATCAATTTTCTTTTCAATGATATTTATAACACTTTAAAACATTGAATTATAAATAGAAAGTATTATTGGAAACTTTAATTAATTGAATAAAATTTGTGAGATAAATGAATGTAAAAATGATCTAAAGTTATAACGTTTGATATAAAATATAGATATTCTTTAAATTTATCCAAAAAATATATTAAAAGGTAAAATCATTAATAATATTAGCCTAGTTTTCTAAGGATAAGTTCCTTTAAGATTTTAACTTATTGAATAATATATTTTATGCTAATGTTTTAAGTGAGCATGAAATTCTTTAACAAATTAAAACTAATTCTTGTTCTTTGGTTATGTAAAATTTGGTTCAAATCAATAATTCTACATATGTGTGGCATTAGGAGTTTTGTAACATTACACAAAGTTTTATATATATTATTTAAACCAAAAAAAGTACAATTTATTATTAAATCTAAGTTAGGTTATGACGTTAAAAAGTGGCAAAATTATGTTTTCTCTTTTGAATCCTAATAATAATATCAAGCTGAAATCTTAATTGATAAATTAACAATATTAATTTAACAATCAAATTGTAAATCTTTGGAAAAAATCAAGAAGTTATTAAAAATTAATGGAATCCTTTTATAACAAGATTCAGTCCCTATGGAATCAGAATCAACTTACTCTAAATATTAGGCCTCTGTAAATACTGAAGTAGAATAGAAAGATATAAACTTGATTATTGAACCAATTTAAAATTTTTAAATTTAAGATAATTCTGAGAATGAATCTAATAATGTTCCAACTTTTTAATTATCTAACAATTTAGATTAGAAACCAACGTATAAGACATTAAATGGAGTTTATACTCCTTAAGATCCAGAAATTTTTTTAAGAGATAATGATTAATAAAATAATAAGGAAATAAATTAAGATATTAATGAAGAAACATTAGTATAATAGAGTGAATAAAAAAAATAAAGTTTATTATAGAAGGAAGAGGAGAAGGAGTAAAACCTAGATTATATTGTGTATGAAAATCCAATTAGCTGGGTGAATTAAGACAACTAGGATGTTGAAGTTTTTGAATTTAATGAGAATTAGCAAGCTATTAGCAGTTATATACCAATCTAAAGTAATTAAATAGATGAAACGAAAAATAGTGACTAATAGCAATAAATTTTATAATAAGCATCAAATTAAATACTAGAATTATAATAAACTTCTTCATTAAACTAGATTAATTAATAAGATGGTATGATAATTGAATAATAAGCAAAAGTTGAAGAAATTATTTTGGATGATTAAGATAATTCATAAGCTTAAAATATTAATAGTTAATAATAATAGTAATAACAACAACAACAATAATAATAATAATAATAATAATAATAATAATAATAATAATAATAATAATAATAATAATAATAGGTATTTTCAACTTAAAATAATTAATAAGATATACATATAAATTAAGATGATAAAGGGTCTAATTAATAATAAGAAGATATTTCTGAAAGTAATAAATATCATAGTAAAAGAAAATAATATGAATACACAGATGATTATGATCAATATTACGATTATATATCTTTGTATAATGATTATGACAGTGAATACGATTTTCATCATAGAAGACATTTAACCCATCATCATAGAACCCCTAAAATTAAACATTTTCATCATCATCATCATAAAATATCTAAAAATGATAGAGAATATGATAATTAAAACTTAGATTTAAATGGACAGGGTTATTAGGGCTAAAAATTTAATTTAAGAGGAAATAGAAAAAATAATGATTATGAAACTACTTAAGATGATACTATTCCCATAATTGCAGATAGAATAATTATAGAATATAATTTTGTTAATGCAAAAGAGGAGGATATAAAACTACATGGAGATGATGAGGAAGAAAATCCTAAAAATTAGAAAGGACAAGAAGATGAAGAGGAACCTAAAAATAATAAGTCCAATAAATAAAAATCTAAATCAAATAAAAATCAAGAAGAAGGAGAAGATGATGCTAAAGAGGAAGATAATTAGGAGGAAGAATAATAAAAATCAAATAAATCTTAAAATACTGCAAAAAATAAGACATAAAATAAAAGTTAAGATAAGAATAATGAAAATCCAAAAAGTAAAGCATAAGATAAAAGTTCTTCAAAGGCTAAAGATAAAGAAAAAGAGAAAGAAAAAGATAAACCAAAACCTAAACCTAAATCTAATGCTAAATCCAATGCTGACCAAGAGGATGAAGAAAAAGAGTAAGACTAAGAAAATGGGGAATAGTAGAATGAAGATTAAGAGAATTAAGATTAAGAAAATTAAGAAGAGGAAAAAAATGAAGATGAATAAGGACAAGATTAAGAGCAAGAAAATAATGAAGAAAAAGAGAATGCTGAAGAAAAAGGAGAAGAGATGGATGAAGATGATTAATGGAGAGGATTTAGTTCAAAAGACAAAGAATAAAAAAAAGGTAAAAGCAAAGGCAATGGAAATAAAGAAGATGAAGAGGAAGAAGATGAAGAACTGTATGATGAGAATGGAAGATACATAAAAAATCATCCATATTATTAGCATAGAAAGAATAAAAAATCACATTATCCATATAATTATCCAGGTAGATATCCTGGTGATGAATTATTTGATGAAGATTTAATATGGAGATATAGATGTATGAATAGACAAAATAGATTTTAAAATTTTGGAAATCCTTATAGTGGTTATCCTTATAGACATCGTTAAGTTATTAATTCAAATCCATTTTATAATAGTAATCCATATTTCAGACTTAATCCATATAATAAATAGACTTAGAGTTCAAGTTGTGTACCTTGGATGGTTAGATAAAGTTATCCTCCTTATCCAGGCTATGGGAGATACTCTAATTTATATAGAGGAAAATATTAGGATCCTGATTATCATTTAAGAGAAATGGGGCTAAGATAGGAATAATAATAATATTAAAAACAATAAGTACAGAGATACAGAGATTAAGTTGGTTATTTTAATTGTTATGGGTATGATGATATGAGACCAAATTATTATGAGGCATATTAGGGAATAATAGAAGATGACCCTCGTTATTAGGTATATAATAGGAATATAAATGATCCAAATGTTTTTAGTCCATTTGATGAAACAGTTCATTATGGACACAATTATGTTAGTGAAAAGCATTTTAATGCTAAATAGGGATCTAAACCTTTGAATCATAGAATGGTTTAAAAGAAAGTAGATTTTGAATAACAAGAGAATAATAGTTGCTTATAAGTGTTTGACCAATGCTATTTTAAGGGAAGAAGTGTAAATTTGTGTGGAGAATACCCAGTAATACCAGAAGGTTTGAATGGATTCAAAATATTTTCTTATATTGTGCCTGACAACCTTGAAATAAGATTCACCTAATCAGATTAGAATGAAGGTAATATATATTAAATATATATATAGATAATGTATCAGACATTTCTGGTTCTGAGGAATGCTTACAAATACCTTATGAATTAGTACCACAATAATAATGATGAATATAATATTAGGATTATTATTGATTGAAAATATCATATAAATCATCAGTTTCTCTAAGAAAATAATATAATTATTAGTATATTACGATATATCTTTTCAATTGATTTATATATAATTAAATTTAAATGGGGTAAGGATAGTCATTAGTTTATGCAGTTCCAGTAGGAGAGAAAAAAGAAGGAGAAAGTCATATTTATAGAAATCCTACTCATGTTACTAAATTATTAGACAATTTTGAAGGAGAAAAGACTGTATAAGGGATGTTCTTAAGAGCTTGTCGTTTATATCCAGATAATAGGTGTATAGGAAGATAGATTTCTACAGGTTAGAATAGTAAACATTACAGATATTTGACATACAAAGAAGTTAAATAGAATGCAGAGTAATAATAATTACATTATATATAGATATTTGGGATCTGGTATCATTAACTTAAATCTTATTCCGAAACCAGAAATATTTGAAGATTAGCCATTAAAAATGATAGGAGTGTTTTCTAAGAATAGAGAAGAATGGTTAATTTTAGATATAGCCAATACTTTTTATGGAAATACAATGATTCCTTTGTATGAAACTTTGGGTTTCGAAAGTTTACCTTATATTTTTGAATAAACATAACTTAGTACTCTCTTTATTTCTGAGTCAAATGCTTAGACAATATTAAAAGTTTCAAATTATCATGCTTTAAAAAATATTATATGTTTTGATGAATTAAACTAAGAAATTATTGAGAAAGTATTATATTAAATACTATGATAGTTTAATTAAAAAGGACTCAAAGTTATCCCTTATGAATAAGTAATTTAAGCAGGATAAGCTAAAATACATGCATATACTGAATTAACTGAAAATAATATTTTTACGTTTAGTTACACATCTGGTACAACAGGATTACCTAAAGGTGTTATGTTAAGGCATAAAAATTTTGTATCAGTTAGTGGAGGAGTGGTATTTTAAGGTATTTAAGCAAGTGAGAAAGATGTTTATTTAAGTTATCTTCCACTTCCTCATGTATTAGAGAGATTTGTTGTAATTACATTATTGGGATATGGAAGCACTATTTGTATGTATGGGGGAGATGTTCTAAAATTAAATTAGGATCTTTAAATGGTCAAACCAACTCTATTTATGAGTGTTCCTAGATTATACTTTAGAATATATACAGCAATTAAGTAAAAATTCGAAAGTCTGTAAGGAGTTTAAAAAAAATTATGTGATTAAGCTTTAGCAAGCAAATTATATTATCTAAAAAATGGAGGTCATGTAGAACATAGATTTTGGGATAACTTAATATTTAAAAAGACTAAGGAAGCTTTAGGTGGAAGAGTTAGATATATGCTGTCAGGATCAGCTCCTATGTCTGCCGAAGTAATAGATTTTCTAAAATGCGTTATTTGTGCTCCCTTTATTGAAGGATATGGATAAACAGAAGGTTGTGGAGGATCTTTTATTACAAAAGCTGAAGACACAATGAGTGGACATGTTGGGGGTGTATTTCCTAATATAGAATTTAAAGTAATTGATGTTCCTGAAATGAATTATCATAGCACAGATATTAATGAAAATAATTAAATAACTCCAAGAGGAGAAATCTGTAAATATTTATATAAAAGCAATAGGTTTAAGAGGCAATGCTATCTTTGCTGGATATTATAAAGATGATGAAAAAACAAAAGAGATGATTGATAAAGATGGATGGATCCATTCTGGTGATGTGGGAGTTATACGTCCTAATGGAGCCTTATAAATTATTGATAGAGTCAAGAATATCTTTAAATTAAGTCAAGGAGAATACATTGCACCTGAAAAAATAGAAGGAATTTATTAAAGAGTAAATGGAGTAACTGAAGCCTTTGTTTATGGCGATTCTTCAAAAAGTTATTGTATTGCAATTATTGTACCTGATAAATAATTTGTACTTAATTTAGGGAATCAATTTGGGTTAAGTTAAACTTTTGAAGAATTATGTTAAAATAATGATATTGTGAAATATTTCCTAGAGTAAATTACTAAATAAGTAAAATAAAATATTAATATTTTTAGGGAAAATTAGAGAGACTTAATGGATTAGAAAATGTTAAATAATTATACCTTGAGCCAACTAGTTTTGTTGTTCATGGATTAACAAGTAATACATTGAAATTGATGAGACATAAAGCAAAAGCCTTTTTTGCTAATTAAATAAATAAGTTGTATTCAGGAAGTGATTGATGAATACTAACAATTAATAGAATTTTTTATCAACTTCAATTAATAGAATATTTATCATTTGAAATACAAATCAAAAATTCTTAATTTTTTATCATTAAATTAGTAAAAATAATGGAATAAAATAATATGAAATAAGCTATCGAGAATGATGGTTATTTTTCATTCTATTTTGATTAAATTAGTACTGAAGTAGAGGAGGATGAATTTGAAATAGGGTAATAATAGAATATTATTGTTTTAGTGTAAAACCTACTAGAAAAATATTCAATTCTAGTCTTGAAAAATAATAGTTTATAGAGGAGTATACAAAAAAGAAAAAGACTGAATTATGTAAAAACTTTATGCTCAAAGGTAGTTGTAAATTTGGCTCAGAAGTATAATTTTTTATTAATAATTAAGTGTTCGTATGCTCATGGATAATCTGAGCTCTTACCTAAATCACATCTTCATTAAAACTACAAGACAAAACCATGTAAAAATTTTCTAAATAATGGATGGTGCAATTATGGATCAAGATGTTAATATATACATCCAGATAATTCATTAAATAAAAATAAGCTCAAAACAACAAATTCTAACAATAAATAAGTATCAAATTTGCAAAAGGATTCAAATAAAAATTCTTCTTAACTTCAAATAAAATAAAAAGGTTATCCTTCCCTGTAGATTAATATGTTATACTCAGAATTACTAGAGAAACTTAATTATAGTTCATAAATGAGTCTCTAAAATTTACCTCGATTAAGTTTTTTTAAAAGATTAGGAAAGTCTAAAATTTGCTTTTTGTCAGATGATTCTGATCGTTGAAAAAACTATATTTTGTTATATATTGTATTATTTTAATTCTTTTAGAAAAAATTCTCTGTAATCTATTTAATAGATTTATTATATTATTTATTTTTTAGACATATTTCAGTCATATTAAAATTAAAAAGTTTGATTATATAGATTGTATTAAGGAAAATTAAAAATAAATTCTTTTTAAAACTCTGATACTTTTACAGTTCTTCTTTAGTTTAGATTAATTTATAAACTGATTTTAATAGAGTTAATAATAATATTATTAATTTACTTTAAGTTCTAAAATTTTTAAATATATCAATTAAATACTTCTTCTTCAATTAGGTTTATTCTATTTTCTATATATGCGTAATATATTTAAATTAACAATAATATATATTGGTTTTATTGTAACGTACAGCTATCTAAGATCATTAGAGATGATCATTGCCCATTTCTATAGAATTAAAAGTTAAACTCAATTTTTTATCATTTATTAATAAATTAATGAATTTTACATAAAATAGATTTCGTATCGGACCAATTTTTAAGGCAAAAGTTCCTGTCATAAATTTTGAACAGTTAAAAAAGGAACAATAATTTTTATAATATGAGTTTCAGAAAAGCGATTCACATCAACATCATATTTCAACATTCAATTCACTTTAAGAACTTTAAAAAAAAGTAGAATACACATTAAAATACCCTAAGAAAAATCAATACCTTTTAAAATAATAACCAAAAATAGAATTGTAATATGCATATCAATCTTAGCAAAGACATTATATAACGTCCAAGAAAATAATACCGAATTTAATGTTAAAAGGAATTATCTTCCAATTCTTTATTTATTACAAACCGAGCAACAGATTGTTCATTTCTTTGGTATGACAATAAGCCTGGATATAAAAAGAAAGATGGTCTTAGTAAACCTGCTCGTCATCCCATTAAATTAAAAACAACATTAGGTATTTATCTATTTATTATAAGACTTAAAACCTTAAAGATATTAAAGAATTTTGAGTGACTCTTTCTAAAGTTGGACTTGATGTTTGAGTACTAGTTTTAAATTTTATGAAAATAATAATTTTTCAAGAATAAAGGTTTATAAATAAAATGTTTATTTTATTATTATTAACAATTTAGTAAAATTAATATAGTTTAAAAGTCGAAAAGACTAAACTTTTCATCGTTTTGTTAAATATTCTCCTTAATTTCTTTTTTAATTCTTCAAGCTTCCTAATAGTTGGTAAACTATATCTTATTATTTGAACTAGACAGAAACAGGAGTTTATAATTAAGTAGTTTTTAAACTCAAAGAAGATTTTGTTTATTAATTACTATCAAGTTTTAAGTGGTCACGCTTTGGAGATGAAATTCTTTTACTGCTAAGTTAATGCATTTGATAATTTAATTACTGATTATGTTCATTCCTAAAATAAAGTTAAATTTATACATAATTTAAATCTACTTCATTTTCTCATTTTTCTATTCTTAAAAACCAATACTTTCATTATTATTCATTTTAACTGTCTTTTGATGTCCATCATTAATTCCTTATTCATTAAGCTTAAGTGGACTTTTTAAAGATGTTTTTAAGTCTCCCATTCTTAATTAGTTCTCTAAACGAATCAACTCCTAAGGCATCTTGTCTTTGCTGACTTTAAACTCTGATACAAAAGCTTCTTCTTTTCGTTTCATTTCTTGACTTGGGCCTTTAGTAACCTTTTCAGATTGTCTTCTAATTTCAATTTAATTGCTTTGAAATAATTGTCTCGCCTTGTAATCACTTGCTCTAAGATATTAAGAAGACAACTCCTTTTGACCTGAATTTGCAGTAGATCTCTATCGAACCTTTTCCATGATTCTTTAAGCAATCTCAGAAGCCTCCTTATCCAAATTAATTTCCTCTTACTTTGATTAGAACTACAAACGTTCATTAATTTTCATTAGTGATAATAATAAATAACTAATATTATAAAAGCTTATTCTTTTTTTTCTATAT